TTTTTTGGTCGCAGAGAGAGATTTCGTTACAGAGGGATTATTTTAGAGAATATGGCGCTACTGGGGATGGATTTAATCTAACATCGGGAAATTCTTTTGTTTCGTTTCAGCCGCGGCGTATCCTAGTTTATACTCCGGCGGCTACGTGGCAGCAATGGCAGCCGCCGGCGTTTCGCTTCATGGTCAACCGGCCTTCTATCACGCGGCTCATCCCTATCAAATAAATCCGAGCGCAGCGGCGGTGGGACCGATGGCGAAGAGGAAGCGCCGCCATAGGACAATATTCACGGAGGAACAGCTGGAGCAACTGGAAGCCACTTTCGACAAGACACATTATCCGGACGTGATACTGAGAGAGCAACTCGCGCTTCAGGTCGATCTTAAGGAAGAACGAATCGAGGTGAGTTTCGAGAGAGATAGGGCAACGATGAATATTTCAGCAGGAACGTAATAGAATTAGACTCTGCTGACTAATAGCCTCAATTATTGTTAACTAGTTAGCGGTACGTTCGTCTTCCTCTGTGTTTGATCGCGGGAAACTCGATAGCGTCGTGAGAATTTCAGAAAAAAAAAAAACGAACCCTCGAAGCTCTGGTAATCTGGTAGCTATTTAAATTGACAAATTATTGTCTTAGACCTGGGTGAATATTAGGTTTTCGTTTGACAAACATTGACCATTCGGATCGTCGGGGCATAATTTGTACCGATGACAAAACGCTTCTCCACTTTTTCACCATCTCGAGGACTCTGACTGCCTTCGCTGCCTTAATGCATCGACAACGACGACTCCATAATTCTTTAACACGGTCATTAAAATTATTTGCGGCCAGTACTTATTGGCGGACGCTTGACTCGAGGCAACAAGTTGCATGCTAGATTAAAAGCTTTGCCGATAATGTGTTTACTTCAATTATATGTGTGCCCGATCGTGTATGTGTCACACACATACATGCAGAAGCACACAAAGCACGCCAGGAAGGGGCGTAGAATTTATAACACGATGTATTTAAAGTCGCGAGACGATTTACATTGCGCGCAATCGTCAATTTGTCACGAGGTGACCTTATAATTTATCGAAGCCCGAATTCACTGTTCGTCGGATTAATCGAACAAACGTTTTTCTTTTTTTTTTTTTCTTCTTTCCTCTTTATTATTAACCAAACATCGCGCGTAACGGCTCTCCTACATCGTCGGGCTTCGTGTTGGCCGGAATTAAAATCGGTTGCTGCTCAATGGAATGAATCGCGCGTCGCTCTGAACGAGGACGTTCAGAAGGACTTAGGACCGTGTCATTGAAACTGGATTGTCAAAGAACCCTTTTCTGCCACGCTATTGTGACTCTATTTAAAAAGAAGATCGATGCTCACTTTCAGTTTGCTGCTTTCTCAAGGAGCGGACGCGTTTCGTTTCTCAAGGAGACGAAACTAACGCAAGAGTTGTTTTAACCACGTGCCACGTAGCACGCCGAGAACTTTTTGTCCCGAAATTGCAATATTTTCTCAATTTTTTTTAAGTACGTTACTTCTCAATAATTTCTATCCACGTGATATCATGCCGACGAGGTCGAAAGGAAAGCGACGAACTGTTGTATACGGTTTCGGTCACTCGTTATGGTCCGCAATCGCAGAATTTTTATCGTCGAATGACAATGTTCTCGAACGCGTGGTCTTTCTGCTTGTAAACGTGTCTGGAATCACGAAAATTTGTCGGAAATTACTGAAGGTACTAAACTCTGGACCGGGTTATCACGATCACGCGATAATGGAACGCGGGTGGAATCAATGGACGTCTTTATTCGTTGCGCGGCAATTTGTTTCGAACAATCGTACAATCCCAAAGTCATTCACACTTATCGTGGACCAACAGAGACCACCCGCGTCGTCGGCCTTGCCAAAGGAAATCCCTTGTCTCGAGAGTTTTTAAAGACTTTGAAACAACATATACCTGCAGCGCACCTGCCGCATCGAGGCATGAGTGTTCGGTGTTTGTACAGAATTAGTAGAAAGGCGACTTTGAAAAAAAAGCAGAGGAGAGAAGAAGGGTGGAAGGGGGGTGGGGGAGGGGGAGAATGTGGAGAATGTGGAGAGATATAAAAGGAGAGACTCGGGAGAACGGCCTAAAGCATTGAGCCCGCGTCTTCACTCTGTTTGGAAAGAAGCACGAGGTTGTTTGCTCGTGCGACGGTCTATTCCTATCTTCTGTGATTGCATCAACAAGAATGCAGCGAAACACAAACGACACAGACGACACGTCGTAAAAGCAGAAGCGTAAAAACCTTGACGTCTAAGATATTCGTGGACAAAGTCGATGGATAATCTATCGATTCCACGAGAGCGATGAAAACATTCACTCACAGTGCACATCGTAGATATTTAGACCGGTAGAGGTATTAAGGAAAGCTTAACAAGGTGACACACACATACGCGCGTGCAGAAGAATATTTTGCATAAATTTTGCACGACGGTTTTTGCACGACGGTTTTGACAAATATCGTGAAACACGTCGGGGAAAATATGTTTGATACAGATAGAATACTGAGGTGTGTGATTATTGCATAATTCAACGGATAAGAGGCAGGACCAATGCGATATTCGAAACGATGAGGCATCCTATCGGTAACAAACAAGAGAGAGAGAGAGAGATATCGATTGTTTGGGCGTTTCGTTTTAAATCGAGTCGGACAAGCGTGATGGACGAATGCTGATTTCGAATGTGGGATGAAGCCTTTTGATCTTCGACGGCTCCCTCGCCTCGTTAAGAGTTCTATCAACGAGATACGCCGACGAGCAGGTAAACGAGGTTATCAATTAAACGAGGTTCTACCTGCCGTGATTGAAATTAAGGTTTAGTCGTTACAGCGTTGGCACACCGATAACTGAATATGAACCGTGAAACGAGCGAGGCGTTACAATTGGAATGTCATTAATCATAGTAATCAATCCATAAATCCTAATATAATTGTACGAAATAATTAGAAGATTTAAACTACATATCTGAACAACGCGCGACATTCTCTCTTTCAGTGAGAAAAATCAATATGCTATCACGAATCTTTATAAATTATTTTTGTAATTATTTTCAGTAATCTTCTAGGTTTCGATATTCGATTCTTTAAATTTATCACTTTACGACGTTCACTGTTATAGTTGTGCATTAAGAAAAAAAAAATTTTATTAAAACAGCTGCCCTTAATGTGGCAAACTTAAAAGTGATAGAAAGAGAGAGAGAGAGAGAGATAAAAAAGAAAGAACCAAAAAAATCGCGAGGGATGGAACTATTTACACGTTTCACGCCTCGATTCCATTTCAAGCGTTTTCCCAACATAAAGAAACATCGCTGGAACACGATGAGCTCCCCTCATCAAACATTTCCTATTCCAGGTGTGGTTCAAGAACCGACGTGCCAAGTGGCGTAAACAGAAACGGGAAGAGCAGGAACGTATGCGGAAACTTCAACTGGAACAACGTCAGCGCGCCGACGACAACGTTCCAACGCCTACGGTCAAGGTGGCCGAGCATTTGACGCTGGCCAGGCAGCAACAGCAACAGCAACAACACGAACAAGACACCGACAGCTCGGACCTCGAAGTGGCGTAGTCAAGATATCGGTTGTAAAATTATTCTTAAAGTTTCTTCTGTCTTTACGTTCCTCTTTCTCTTTTCTTTTCTTTTCTTTTTTTCATTTTTTGTTTCGTCGACGGTCAAAAAGATTCGAAACACCGGACAGGTGTGTTTCTTTCCTACCCTCGTGCAGGGGACAGACGTGTAAATACCGAATTAGGATGTAAATATGTTTGTACATATAGCCTACGATCGATGTGTATAATAGGTAGTGAAATAAATTATTGATTCGAGATACACAGATATCAGATGGCATTTTACTTTCACTTTCCGTGATTTCTGTGATTTCCGTTCTTTGGAAAAAGTAGATGAATGGTTGGAAGCTGTTTCTAAAAATTAGAAACTGCGGAAACTGCACTTCCAAGAAATGGAAAAATTTCTTTTAGAAAAATTAAGAATGACGTTTTATGAAAAGCCTTCGATCGAGAATTAAGAGAGTATCGTCTCAATTTGCTCTGTTCTTTTTACAAATAATACTATTTTTTATAAACCTAATATTAAACAACGGTGAAAAGTCAGATTTTTCAAGAAAAACAAAAAAAAAAAAAATTCCGTGTGATCGCTTTCGCCGCAGGAATGTACGTATACTCTGCGCAGAGAATGTCCCGCGTTACAGATCAGTGATTAAAATCCCTGGGCAGTTTCCAACGGGCGTTTGTAGTTGAAACTTAGTTCGACGTGCCTTGACGATTATATTATTAGTATTGTGCGATAGGAGTGAAAGAGCAGCTAGACCGGCGGTAGCGCCAGTTCATGGACACCGTAAGTTTCGCCGCGCGAGAGGAAAGTTCGAGCCAAGTTCGGGGTAAGTACATAAATCCCGACGGCGACCGAGAACTAAGAGGTTCTCTTGTGGTACAACTTTAATAAGTTCCGCGCCGTTGCTGCACTGAGACCTAAAGACGATCGACTTAACCACCGGCTTCTTTTCGCTCTTCTGTTCCTAAAAGATTCTGATCCTTTATTTTTTTCTCTTCTATCTCCTAAATTCGAAATCGACCAATTTTTTCCCTGTGGTTTCTTCCTTCATTCCGATTACCATGTGGTTACACGACAGATTTCGTTTGCACACGAGCAAAGCCTCTCGAGGGTAAGTTCGTGCGTGCGAAAATGAAACAAGTACTGTAAGATCCGGGTAGATAATTGCAAAATTTATTCCACTTGCTTCTTCTACGATGAAGCTCGATGATATTTCTTTGAAGTTATTTGATTTAAAATATTACGATTAATAGAACAGATACGTGAAATTATTAATAGACAATGTCATATTTATTCAATTGGTACAACAATGTCGACGAAACTAAAAAGCTTCGTCACATTCTTGAGACGTGGCATTTAAAACGAATTACATTCGCGAGTGTAACAGAGGACAGAAACGAACGATCATCTTTCACCCTTGCAGCATAACTTATCGATAAGTCGTGTGGTTTCCGCTCTCTTGTGCTTCCACTTTTTCATCTGTTTTTTCTTCTCCTCGTCGTACGGACACTCCACTTTAGTCACCCTTTTAGCTCTGTCTTTCTTCTCTTTCTTCTCGGCTCTCGTAACGGGGAACGCGGAGGGGCCTACATCGACGACCTTCAATATTTCGATAGGGTTCAGAGCAAACTGGCTGCATTCCGGCGAGCCAATAGTCAATACAAGGACCGTGATGAACTTCAATAAATACGTGGCTCTCAACAGATAAACCGCTCCCTCGCCGTACGAGAACAGCGGCGGGCCCAAAGAGTTCACGTCGCACATGTAATAAGCGCCGCAGAATTTGAACACGCCAAGACAGGAGCTTTCGCACGTCAGAATGCCAAACTTATACTTCAAGAACATTTGCTCCAAAGATTGCCACAGATACTTTCCAGATTTCGCGTACAACCGGCCGCAAATCGCTGGCAGAACCTTCGCTTCGAACATCGTCTCGCCGATCTTGAAATGGCTCATCAAATACCTGTTCCAACAGCTCACGTAGCTGTACTCGGTCCTCGCCGACTTGAACTCGGCTTCCAGTCTACTGTGCGTGTAATATCTGTCGCCGCACATGACGATCACGTCCAGCGTCTTCGAGCTCCAATATTCAGGCGCCGTGATTCTCGTCATGCCAGCGCAGACAACGTAACAAGCGTACGTCTGCATCCCGCGGTTTTCCATCTCGAACACACCGTCCGTAATGTGAATCTCGCCCCACAGAGAAAATAATTTGTTCGACTCCTCCACGACGTACTGATGCCAGCGCATCTTCCCCAGGCCGTATTCCTTCGTGCCTTTCCTCTTCTGCGGTACAGCCAGAGACTTGGTCCAGGTGATCTTGTACAGTTTCAGCCACGTAGGCTTTTCGATCGATTCTTTCAAATCGCCTTCTTCTTGCTCGATCGTGCACGGATCTCTCATGTCCAGAGGATCGAAAGGACAATCGTCGATGGTCTTCCGCTTCACGTACCGTTTCGCTGGCTTCGGCGCGCCTCGTTGCAACAGCCTGAGGTTGTGGATCTGGCAGCAAAGGTGGGACACGTGGAAAATTTGGATCGCGTAGAATTTTTCTTCCTCCGGTTGTCGAGCTTGGTTGCTCGGTTGTTTCGACTCGATTTCACTTTCCGTCGTCGCTGATAATTCCGTACCTTCTGCGGATGTCTCGGCCATTCCCGACTTCTTCTCCGGTTTTGGAGTTGCGTAAACGTAGGCTCTTAGTAAGAGAATCATCAGATGCCTGGTGAGAGATTGCTTGGAACAGAACTTCATGATGCAAGCGTACCCACTGTCGTCCCAGTAGCCGAATTTGTCGCATCGATACGGATTGTACAGGTACCAGAACAGATTGTCCTTCCAGAACGCCACGGAGAATCGAGCGGTGCGGAATATACAGTTACGATAACGTACTTTCAGTTTGTCGAGCCAATCCTGGATCCTTTTGACGCCTCTGTGAACTGGCGCTGTTTGCTCGTCGGTTATCTTCTCCGAGCCGATCTCCAGCTGAACGTTCATCAGCTCGCTTCGTTCCAGAATCGTTTTCCGCCGCATGTTCCTCTCCTCGTAATCGCATGGGATGTCGGTGACGATTGGAACGTCGTTCAACTCTTGAATTAATCTCACCTCGATGCTGTACTTGTAGTTGTACACGACAATGTCGTCGAATCGTTGCTTGTCTTTGACATTGATCATGCCCATGTGTGTGTACAGCATCCACGCATGGTCGTAGATGTAATCGATGTTCGCGCTCCAAGCGTACTTGTATCTTGCAGACACACGTCGATTCGTTGAACGTTATTAATAAAATTTGCACGTTGCGCGATTTAATTTAATTGTAAAAGGTTAAAGGTAAAGTGATCTACATGCATGGAGAGGGAAATATTACAACGTAGGTTTCCTTGATATTGAACACTGTTTAAGAGAATTGAAATTACACGTTAAATATAGGATATCTTCGTTTTAATTAAAATAGAATTCCATACGCGCGCGAGTTTATATTCGCGCAGAGCCCTCCGATGGAAACTTTTCTACGATGCGTTCGACGAAAAATTTGTAAAAAAATTCCGAAGTTTATAAAGAAAAAAAAAAAGAAGAAAAAAAAAAAGAATCACGACTTGAGCCATCCAACATCCAAGATTTTTAACATGGCTAGGATTATTAAAGACTTTCGATCTCTTCAATTAATTCTCTGAACTAAATGTACAATGCGTAAAGCAATGCTCTTTCGCAAATATGACGTAACATTGTTTCCTTTACATTTACAGTTTCATTTTTAGCTGTTTGCATTTATTGTTTGTTTCGCGTTCATTTTTTTCTTACGTTACTTTCCTTCCTCGGCAGGTTCCCTCCCTCCCTCCCGTTTAAATAAATAAATAAGCAAATGAGAAAACAGGTAAAAAGGTAAGAAGCAAAACTGGAAAACTTAAAAATCCAAATCCAAAGCTAAACAAATTCAACAAATACCTCAGCTGTGTTTTAACCAGGAGGGAAACGATCGCTTGGTAGAAGCAGAACTTCCACGTTTTTCTGCGCGTTCGTAGAACTCCCAGTTCAGGCAAGTGCATACCCTTCAACCCACGAAGACACACATCGGCATAGATTCTGTTTCCCTGCGTTTTCGAGGGTAACTCGAAAATTATGTAATCACCGTTAACTAAACCGGGCTGTTCGCCGGCAGCGCGATCGACAGACATCTTGCACGGCGGAGGACACGATTGCGGGATTCGTGCATGACCCAATTCCTTGCGATCGGAATAATCTTTGGTTGGGTCTTCGAAAACATCGCGCACGTCGGCCGGATCGCAGGGAAACAGATCTTTCCGTTCCTTTCGCTTCTGTCTTCGCCTCTCTAGCAATTCGTTCGTCATGTCTCTCGTTGTGCACGGCCACATGCCTGGCCATTTCTCGCTGTCGATTCTCGATACTGGCGCCTCTACAGCGGTGTCTGATTTGGAAGAGTGCACCTGAAGAATTGTCAAGAATTGTTTTCCGTACCTCTAAACATACGTTTCACTTTCTTGTTAATTTCGGTTGATTGTTGGATTGTTTCACACGCACTCGTCTCGAAACAGAAATTTCAGATCACGTCTGAACTCTGAGGTTAAAATTCGAATTGTTATTTTAAATGTTCCCAAAGCTTGAATATTCACGTCGAGAATTCTTTGTTCCAAAATTGTAACATTTTCTCAGTTCCAAGTATGTTTAAGTGAAACAAGTAATAAATTTGTTACTTCTCGGTAATTTCTATCCAGTGATGTTCATACCGACGAGTTCAACAAAGAAAGCGACGAATTCTATTGTATACGGTTCGGTCACTCGTTACGGTCCGCAATCAGTTACCAGCGCAAGCGGTCAAGTCCGTCTAATGACAGTTTATACTAACAGGCAGATTCGCGCGCATGTTTCGCCAGATTCGTATCAGCTTCGATCGGTCCATCTTGTCAGGTAACTTGAACTGTTCTTTCATCTGAAAGGCATTGAGTGGCAAACACTTGTGGTGCGCGGTCAGATCTTCCTCCGAATGAACCCGCGGGAATTTCTTAAGATCGGCAGGCTTCCTGTGTTTCATAAAATCGTCCATCTCGCGTTCTTGGTAGCCTTCCACGAATCTGAGAAAATCGTGAATCGTGGTGACGCGTTGCGAGAGTAGTTCGCGAAACGAATCTAGCCGCTTCCTTACGTTTTCGCATAAAGCTGCCAAAGAGGCACGTCGCATTTCCACTTCTGTCTCATACACCGTTCCATCTCACTTCTCACTTTCTTTCCTCTGCGTTTCTTTCTAACCTCCTCTCGTGCTTCCTCGGCTTCTTCCACGGTGCCCACATCTTCCCCTTCTTTTACGAATTCCTCCTCGGTTTCAGTTTCCTCGTAGCCCTCAGTTTCATCTGCTTCCTCCTCCTCAGTGTCCTCTGTATCCTCCGTAACTTGCAGATCCGTGGTATCATCGAGATACTCGGTCGTAGTATCTTCATCGGTTGGCTCAACCTCAGCCATTTCCGCCTGATTCCTTATATTTACTTCTTTGTCGATAAATTATCCCGCAGCTCGCAGTTTCTCACGTTTTCACACCACTCCACATCGCAGCTTTTAAATGTATACTTCACAATTTAACACGGTTTCGCCAAATTTGCGGATATTTTATCTCAGTCAAATTAAATCAACTCATTTTTTTTTTTTTTTTTTTTTTTTTCTTTTTAAATAGAGTTACACGAGGTTAATATTTCACGATAATTTAGACGGTAAAATTAAACGATTATTCTGAATTATTCTTTTTATATCGTTCTGCGTGGTGTATCATCGTCAATAGATGATTTCTTAACCGCGATTCAATGGGAAATTTCGATATATAACCTAACAACTGATAAGCAGCATCGAGTCGTACACGTATGTGACACACGGTCTTCTCATGGAATTTGAATTTGTCAGCGGAAAGTATTTCCGGAGCGAAAAATTGAAAAATAATTTTGTTCTGTATGTCAAATTGATTCGTATCGAATCGGGTGGTGGAATGAGGGGAGACGAGACGAGGGATGAGGGAAACGAGAAAGGAGGGGAAAAGGGTAGAAAAAACGCTGTAATAAAAATGCTTTATTGACTCTCTTGCGTTCTACGAGTCTATTTAATAACGAAGGAATTGTGTCGCGCTTGGAAAAAAATTTTCTCCCTCGGCCCCCTCCCCGTTTAAATATACTTTCCGAAAAATATGAATAACCGTTCGGGGAATGTCGGGACCGGACCGGTGGGGAAGCTGAACAAATGCTGCTTCTCAAAAGGCTGACGAAAGATTTAAAGTGTTCCGTTCTGTGATTTTGTAATTATTTTCCACCGGAGTAGACGAAACCTTAAAACGGCAAGCAATCTCAGCGCGCGAAGCCGGACCGCGACGCAAAATTTTCAAAGTGTTTATAAAATTACGCTGACACACGATGGAAATAACGTGAAACCTTACTTTTAGGGTAATATTCTGATCATTATTGGATTTAGGAGCCCCGCGCATGCACCGACCGCAAATAATTCTTGCTGCGAAACGCTTTGAAACGTTTATTTCCGTCATTTAGGGAGAAGAAAATGAAAAGATGCGGCATTTAAAAACGTATTTTACATAAAAAAAAAAAAAAAATTTGCATCAACGTTGGACACTTTGAAAATTCGTGGCAGCGAACGTTCGAGCATGAACGAAATGTATAAATTAATAATTAAAAGCGGCATCGATGAAATCGACAAACTATAAATTTATGCTGCCTATTAAAAGATATAATTTAAAAGTGATAACATTTAGGCGAAAATTTCCAATGAGATCGAACACATTTCATTCCTGAATGAAAAAAAAAAAAAAAAGAAACAATCACAGCGAGACAATAAAATCACTGGAAATATTTTTCTGGTTAAATGGCAGATACAGCGACAGATCGTCGAAATGGAGTGGTCTTTTCGAACTGTGAGTGCAGCTATTCTTTAACGGCGCAGCTATCTATCGAGATAACGAAAATGGAGCAGGGTATCTTTGCTCGATTTTTCCAGTAAAACGAGAAGAAGAAGAAGAAGAAGAAGAAGAAGAAGAAGAAGTTCGAACGGGTCCCAACGATGTATCCCGTGGGAATCCAAGCAGCAGTCGAAGTCAAAGTGAATTTGAAGCTGAAATCGGCCTGATCCCCGCAAGGTTCCACGATGGAGCGAAGTTTCGCCGAGCAAATCAAAGATCAAGACAACTCGCTCGGTGAAATTTTAATGAACCAGACCACGGTGCACACAGTTCCATCGAGAAAAGGTGAATCGATCGGTCGAACGGTATACGGCTAAATCTCGAAAGCTCCGGTTGAAATGAATTATTACCCGCGGAGAAGAGACGTACCCCCAGCCACGTAGTATGAATTCCGAATGTACCCCGAATGTCGACGCAGATTTCAACAATTTCGATATTTAAATTACTTTCGAAACTCAATATTAACGCGTACTTATTCCATGGGTTTCCCCTACATTTGCATATTAATATATTTGTTCTTTAATTAATAATTGCTCCGCGGAAGCACCGGTTTCACTGTTTCCATGTACAGGGTGTGATAGAATTGTAAAAAAAAAAAAAGAAAAAAAAAATGAACTTGATTGAATAGTAAGGATTCCAGAAGCGAAGGTAAGGAAAAGAGGGAATTAATTGTGACGAACATAGTTCTCACAGGTTGCAACAAATAATTTACTGTAATAATATCCTCGTTTCGAAGTAGAATCTCGAAAAGAAAATTTCCGATACATTATTCACTCGTGTATGTCCTTCCTTCCATTTTGTTGCGCGAAGCTGTATATGCTTAAATTAATTAATGAAATTTCATTTTAAATACCTGTTTGTCACATTTCGCTGTTTATCGCAAATCGAATCAAGAACCGACCTTTTATGTAACCGAATCTCGGCGAAATTAATTTCTACGCCGAACAATCTTCCATTTCACATTCCCTGCTTCAAATTTCCAAGCTGAACTTCAAAACTATTACATCAGACGCCCTCGTAATTTTCACTTTATTAATAAATGGGCTGCTGGATGTTCAACGTCCGTACGCTAAAGATTTCTTTCTCTCTGCATCTTCAAATTTCACAAAGATTTGCAATTTGTGGAGGATCACGATGACAGGATCGAAGGTGTATACTTTAAATTCAACGGACGGGCCGCGTGTACCTATCTCGCTTGGAAAAGATTCATGAAGAGCAAAGAAGAGAGAAGAAGCGGATTGCCGCGTATGTGCGTGCACGTATACGAAAGGGGGCCGCGGAGGGAGGATGCAGAATAAACAGTGCATTATATGCAATAACGCACAAAACGCCCCTACGGCTGTACAGCCATCTCCTTCGAAAGTTCCCGTACGGGAACGCGCACACGACCAATCCAATTAATTTTATTTTAATTACTGCATCGTCGAGCACACGCCGATTGTTATTGTTTCGGCGGCGACGAATCGACTGACGGTTCGTTATTTTCCCCCGGCTGACAATTTCTGTCTGTTCGCACCGCCGCGAGAGAGGCGGGTCACTCGAATGGGAAGCAAATTTTTTCAAAGTGTCCATAGAGGCTCTTCATTCATGAACGATAGATATATCTATACCCTCTGTTTCGTTTCGTTTTGTTTCGTTTCGTTTCGTTTCGTTTCGTTTCGTTTCTTTCATTTTATCGACCGCCGAAAGTTAACATTTATTATTCAGACAATAGCGCAGGGGACCGATGTTTTGCCATTTTTTTATTATTTGCGAGAATTCATTAACATTCGACTCGTAAAATTTGTTAGTAATATTATTTCACCTGTGTATAAAAGGTGCCTGTTGATATTTAATGATGTAAATTGAATGTTTGAATTCGGCTGCATTGTGATATAATGTACTAAATAAAATAATGTTCATCGGAATTCTTTAACGCATGTAAAAAGGATGTCTCAATATCTATATCTGACGTTGTATGCAAATACGAAAATTCGTGTCGGACCTGATGGTAACAGTTTTCGCGTGATTCGCGTTATTTATGCATGCGCTGTTAATGCAAATATTTGCGAACAATCGTTAGCGCGTAATCATGTACGATTCGAGGGGGTTGCAAGCAACGTGGTGCCGTAATTACGTGAGCCATGTAAAAGTGGCGAACAATGTTGCCACACGGTGCGACACGACTGATGATCAAACAATGATTATGTTAGTTATGCGACATTATTATGCTATTACCATTGTATCGGGTGGACGTGGAAATGACGCGATTTGAATTTCGGGTAAAGCGTTAATTACATTATATTTGATATAGAAGCTAGAATTGAGTTTATGTTTCGTGCACAATTTCTCTCTATTTCTTTAAATAAAATTTCCGTCCAACGGCGGATTAGATAATTGTTGAAAAAGAAGGTGATAGATTTTGCATATTTTAGGATCGTCATTCACAAAGAATTAAATGTGATTTGTGTTTGAGAAAATTTTTGATCACCACATGGACAAAAAGCTATCATCCCGACTTTATTTTCATACGAAACTGTTACGCGAGTATTCCAGCGAGTCGAGCACGATCCACGTACACGTACGTGCGTGTACATATACGCGCGAAAACTAGCCACCAAAATTCGCGCGAGTATTTGCAAATATTACAAAATTTCAACCGTCAATAATTAAATTGAGCAAAACGATTACATTTATACGATCCTCTCGAAATGTAATTCGAACAGGCGAAATCAATACACTTTTAATTATCGTTCCGCGCTTTCTACCGACGTTAACAGGTCCAATCTGCGCTCTGCTGGACATCTTCCACCTCTGATTCTCTTTCGTTACAAATAATAAGTGGCAGTCGAAAATTATCAGACAAAAATTTGCAAACTTTCTATCACAATCGCGAGTAATATCTTGAGAAGCTAAAAATGTCTTACGAGTCGCCTTTAAAATTTACGCACTTAAAAAACTTTAAAATTGCCAGAGACGTGACGTGATAAGACTTTGCTAAATTACTTTTTTCTCCCATATCGTTCACTTCCACCGAGATATTTTTTTTCTCCTTTTTTTTTTTTTTTTTTGCGTGACGCGTCGATCTCGTTTCCACGTCGCCGACAATCAATTTCCACGGCGAAGAGTCGCGAAACTAAACGGAGGCACAAAATGTCCCCAGGAGGGATTTACGGGCGCGAGAACACCGTCGGAGACGGCGGACGTCTACATTCGAAGTAGCAAAACTGTCCTGGTGGCCCCTCGACGGACCTGTCCCCGAGGCCAGTCCTTTTAATTACCCGACGTTAAATTCTTTATCTGGCTGAAACAATGTGGCGGGCTCGTGTTTTCAGACCAAACAAACCCCATGTTGATACGCGGTAATAGAATAATCTGGCAGCTGATTCCGGGGATATAGCCCGCGGGGATAGAAACCCACACGATTTCTGCACCCGGTCTCTGCGCCTACATCCCAGAACGAAAATCAACCCCCTACCCCTCGGCTCGGTTTTGCCTCACCATCTCCGTGGTGCACCCTCGTAACCTCGTACGAGAGAGGCCAAACCCCCTTCTCCGCGTGTTTACACACTCTGTGGCTATGCCTGGACAAATGGTTTCCGGTGGGGGAAGAACGGACCGGGGGGAGGGGGAGGGGGTGAGGCTATGGGGGTACGTTACCATGCACCGCGCGTGACAATAAACCGCGCTCGAATTACAGCCACGAGGCTTCCGTGATCTTTCTTTTAATCGTTCGTGATCGGCGTGCCAGACCCGATATGCCTACGGAACCGATATATACCACCATAGGGAGAGTTTCGCCTTCAATTATTCGGTGTCGTAATTGAGGGGATGATTTCGAAGTGATAGGAATGGCAGTGGTACTGTGGAGTAGTTGATTGGTATTTGTAATCTGAATGGCAGGTTTAAAGGGAGACTTATTCGCGACATAAACGGGATTAAACGATTGGAAATAGCGTGACGAGAGATTTAGTCTCGATTTAGTTCGACGAGGCGTATCTTTCAAGGATGTCGTTCTGGAATGGTGTTCGTTCGCCATTAAATTTTTTATGTTGAATTTCTTTACATCTTCACGTCTCTTTTTCTTCCTCTTTCTCTTTGATCTCAACAATGCAGCGTTTATTAGCTTTCTACGCCGTTTATCGTTGCGTAACTTATCAATTTCCATTGCAGCCGCATAAATGAAAAAAACCTCTTCGTTCTCCGGAATAATATCATGTACTTACATGAATACACACTTTGCAAGGAAACGTCCATTGGTTGTTACGTGATCAACGTGCCTGACAAAATATGTACAGCTATATATACATGTATAGAAAATGCGTGTACTCCCGAACCTATATGTATGTAGCGTACTTCCCTCAAGTCCACGGTTTCACAATGGCGAAACGATTGAAATACGACGTTCCAGCCAACGACTGTTTTATTACCTCCAACAGATTCAATATAAGCAACGCGACCGTCGAACAATCCCCAGGTAACGCTAGACGCAAGTTCTCCACCGTGTTTCATCTCCACCGATATCTTCATTCACCATCTTCTTACGCGAGGAAAAGATGAAGAAGAAATTGATTCGCTTCCCATACCGCGCATTATTTTTCAAGAAGATACCGCACCAAATATATGTACGTATATACGAATAAATATAAAAATTCGATGCTTCAAAGATCCTTGGGCATTTCATTTTTCGACATTTTTGATACTAACGAGACTTCAAAAGATCAAAAGTCCTTCCTTCTTTCGTCATTTTCTTTTTCTTTTTTCTTTTTTTTTTTTTTTTTTTTTTTTTTTTTTTTTTTTTGCTTTCTCGTTTTAGTTGCGCGTTCTCTCCGTTTCCTTTGTCTGGTCCTGTCGACGAATCAGATAGAAAAGAAAGGACAACGGGAGACTGTGTAAAAGGACAGCGCACGATCCGTATTTGCAAAAAGGGAGTCTTTTCCTCGACGTTCACTTTGCGGAACGTTACCTGCTCTTCCTCGTACGTAACGAGATGACGTAGGAAGAAGTCGCGCGTGAAGAAGAGCGATGAACGCTGTTTCTCGCTGCTGGCACCTCGCTTGGTCCTCGTTGTTTTATTTGCTCTACGGTCTCGCCATACTAACGAGCAGTCTTCCTTTCTTCTTTGTCGGGATCTTTTTTCCAAGGCTTCGGCGTGAGACACCGAGACGGAAAAGAAGAACACGGGGAAAAACGGGCAAACAACCGGCTTCGTATCGAGAGTCATAAACTCTCGTCGCTCAGCTTTATGTAAACCATCGTTATCCTGATCGTCGTCCTTCCAGTATTTTCTTCTCCGCTCTTTAAATTATCTCGGATGCGATGCTCGTTTCATTTAACGCGCAAGCACCCGCGTTACAAAAAAGAACGTGTTCCGAACACGTTGACGCATTTCAACAATGCAAACTCGTCTAATAATTGTTTTTCCGCGAGAAATATGGCAGAGAAATTTCGAAAAATACTGAAACGCCGTCCGCTCGTTTGAAGTAAGAGGTGAATCAATTTCATTAATCGTGGATTTCAAAAGTTTCAGAATCTGAGAAAAATTATTAGAACTCGCGATAGATAAACGCAAAAAATTCAACAAACTCTATCGTAAGCCGTATTCGTAACCCGGCTGATCTTCAAAGAAAATCTGACTTTTCGCCAAAAAGAAGATCTAATCCAATTTAAAAAGAAGGATGATTTAATTAACAATTAAACTCTTTTCGTCCAAGTCCCGCGAAGGGAAGATCGGGCTCGACTTTTTATTGGTTTCGATCACCCTTCGAAGGAGTAGCCGGCTTTATTCGACGCTGATCTTCCCCTATTAAGGGAGACAGGCCGGATAATATTAATTAATAAGTTGATTAACTCGCTGTAACGAGGGACTAGGGCGGCCGGGTATTTTCAATGTTTTCGCGTAATCATTGAAACGACGAACAAGAGCATGAGCAGGTAACATCGGGGTCGAGATTGAGTTTTAAGGGTCGACTGAACTCACCTTTGTCGAAGCTGCTGTCCGGAGCCTTTATCCTAAGGGATTTCATTTCCATTAGTGCATCGAAGAAGCTCAAACGAAGAAAACCTGCAACAGAAATCCGTTCCCGGTTAAAACCGGTGAAATCAATCGACTTCATTTTCTTCTGTATTTAACGCAACTGGGGGGTTTTTTTTTTCATTTTTCATTCGTTGCAATCAAATGCTTTACGAAAGCACATTATTCCCTGTATCTTGCTATTGGCGATGATGAGTGTCATCTCAGTTATTTGAAAGTGAAATATGTAACTATATATGCCGAAAATTGTTCGCCTTAAGTTATTTCAAAACAGGACAAGGAGTGTCTGCTACTAATGGCCACATTACCGGTTTCAAAGAAAGACTACCGTCCAAGATATTGACTTCCGGTACCCTTAATTGTCCACTGTTTGCACCCTAATCTCAAATGAAGAAATCGAATACGATTTACGATACCTTTTCAACTAGGGTCTATCTGGGACGCGATGTTTTTGACGTCAGAAAACACTAGGTTTCTGTATAAAATCAACGAATTTATGCTACTTCCTTTTTTTTTAAGTTAACTTCGTTCAAAGAACCGTTCTGTAATCCTGTTATATAACTACATCATCTACTCCACGTCCCAAAACATTAATCACAATTACATTAACATTACAGAGCTAAATAGTTAAATAAAAATTACCTCCCACAGGGATATATTAATTTCAATTTCTCCGCAATCCCTCTCCTCGAAACAATTGGCGAATTATTCATGCATGGTTCATCAGCTGGCGAATTCTCGAAAGGGATTAACTCGCCAATAGGAGAACGCGTTATCGGAGCAGTCAGTGGCACCCGATTGCGTGACAGGAGTCAAAGCATTCGAAAGCAACGAGTCCTTCATTCGGGACGGAGAAGAGGCAGTTAATAGCTGGAGGACAATGGAGTTGGGGTTGGCTGTTTCAAGGATCCTGAGAGTAAGTACCGGGGGGTAGGTTTGGTCGCAGGCGTGACTGTGTGAGACCCTCGCTGAGATAATTGAGCCGTCAGCTGCATGAGCCCCGAGCGCCATGATAGCGCCAGCACCACCACCCTCGCCGATGTGTTTTCTGCTTGGAGCGCCAGAGGAACACTTAGTGCACGCGACGAGAGCCCCGGTTCGAATTACCCCAAAACCATCTCCCCCGCTTTCTGATTCGTGAGACACTCGCTTTTTCCTCGGATCGTTATGATAATTTCATCGTTCGATCTCTCTATCGGCGGTAGAGGACTCGCTCGCAAGAGTTTATTCGACTTATTCGTGGATTAAATAAGTTTTCAAATCTGCATAACGTCGATTGCTTATACGTTTCGAAAAGAAATTCACCGATGATGTTTAAATACAAGATAATCCAAACCCTCGGAACGAGATTTTCTTTAATACGAAGTACAAGCTCTACTCGTCGTAATATCTTATATTCTAATAGGCTCGGTTCAAGAATTCAGTCGTTTTTCTAAAAATTAGTTTAATACTCTTTAATTTCATTAATAAAGAGCTTCTGATCTGTATGAAAGGATTAATTGTTAATTATGCGCAATGTTTAAAACGATATGAAACGTCATAATCGTACATAAGATGCAACACGCATGTTGTATTAATTAAATTAACGAAGTTAGTTTATTTAATACACTTTGTGATTAGCTACCACCAACAGTGATAAATTTCTCTTTCAGGAATTATTCAGATTGACCTCATCATCGAAACATCAGATTGATGTAATTATAATACTGTGTGTTATATACTCTGATTTTTCTACAGAAAAAGAGCGAACGAATTTTTATGCTTTAACAATTGTTACAGCGAATATCGTGGAAGAAGAATACAAAGTAAGCAGCGTTATAAGGACTGTATGAAGCTTTGTTGTGAGAAAAGAACTTAGAACCTAAGTATCTCGACTCGTTATAATCCCTGTAACTCGATGTAGGATTCAGTAATGCGAGCCGACGCGTGAAATCCCGACGGGTTTCCTCGTGATGAGAATTCAGCTCGGGAACCCTCGTAGGTATGCAACGACAGTCTGAATACAGTCAGAGTGCTGAGAAGTTCGGAAAATCTGCATAGGTCCTTCGTTCCTTCGTAACTAAGTAGATATCATTATGAATTTAGCCCGACTGTCATTTTCCATAGTCAATGTTAATTTAACATTCCGCTCACGAGAGGAATCGAATATTTCTCGGATATTTATTTTTCATCAGATAATTCGTTAAAAGTGGATGAAAGACCAAACTTGTTGCTCTCATCTAAGAGCACTTATTAATACCGGATTAGCAAAATTTCGTTGATAATATTCGTTCAACTCCAACAGTCTATTATAAAACAGTGAACAGAATAAGTTAAAGCCTACCACTGAATAAATTAAAGCCTACTCTTATCGAAAGCAACCTGGCACCGGACGAATGTCGAATCTTAAAAGCAAAAAAAAAAAAGGTCCCGACGAGGAAACAATAATTTAACAACCCTTCTGTATAATCTGTTGCATTCTATATATAATCTCTTTATTACAGCCCTATAAAGCGCTATAATACGTGTGTCGAGATAACGAGGAAATAAAATCATCAACCCTGAACAAGAAATCCGTGCATTACCATAAGAAAACTCGAACAGGAACGGAGGGAATTATCGCTCGGGTATCACGCGAATTTCCATCATATTTTTCTCCTCTGCCAAAAAAAAGAGAAAGAAAAAAAGGAAAGGAAAAAGAACGGCGGACATCGTTCAAAGCGTTATTGCAGACTTTACAAAGCATTTGACGAAGACAGAAAGGAAGAGAGATAGGGACAGAGAAAAAGAGAGGAAGAAAAAGACGGATGGAATGGGCGAAGAGAAAGAGAGAAAGAGAGAAAGAGGCAGTAATGCGGACCGATTATCCGTCCCTAGACACAGATACCTCCCTCTTCTTTTGTCACCCCTCTCCCTCCCAGTATTTCCCCTTGAGGAAGTTCCAGCGATCCCCTCCAAAACGCCTGGGGAGTCGAGAGGACTCGTTTAGGTAAGCTGCACATTCCAGAGGGATGGAAAAGTAGAGGGGATCCTGTGAAGTCTCGACGTCCGACGGGGATGATGGTTTCCGCGGGGGCCACACCCACCACCCCTAGAGACAGCCAATCACATCCATGGGCCGAAGGGTTGCCAGCGATCCGAAAGCTGTCATCGTGCCAGGCCTGGCTTTGCCTAGCGTTGCACGATATAAATCTAGAATTTAAGGTCTTAAAACGTCGCTATTTCCTCCAACGCTGCTCCTCCTTTTCGACGTTCAAACGGCCCTTCCGGTTTCGCTGCGAGCATTCCGCGAAAAAAAAAAAAGGATTCAAACAAAAGGAATATCCGTATCTGGAGGACGTCTCCTCTGTCTCTTTCCTGATTAATCGTTAACCGAGGCATCGTTTTCGCCGGATCTCTTGGATATCCGTAGTTTCTTCGAGAAGAGCACGATACCGGATATAGGCTTCGTAACGTTTAACACGGTGGTTTTCTAATACGTGAGTATTATCTGTGATAAGGTTTCATCATTCTATTAGTGGTCTGATTTTTAATGCATTTGAGAATTGAAAAATTTCAACAGGATCAACTCAAAATAGAATACTAGTTGCACTCTGTATAAATATCTTCAGTCTTATCATCATATCCTTGTCATATCCTCAAAAAAAAAAAAAAAATTTACAATGAAGAAACAAAAGAAGACTATAGTCGACGAATGAATAATCGAACGCATCCTCCGTAAGTTGCAACAGAGGATAATCAGTCGCGTAATCATGACGACACCGACCAACGAAACCATTGTTATTCGATTATCACGTACATAAGGATTCCCTTTCGCTAGTTGAAACAAGAATTCCCACTGTTGCTTCTCGTGCAAAGGCACAGATGTACACCCTCTCCTGGCTCTCTTTCTCTCTTGTTCTCCCGACTGTTCGTTAATCAAGTCAGTAACTCAAAATGGCTTCCTGCCTAGTAACACCCCTTGGATCGTCTCTTTTCGCTGTCACCTCGGCAAATGCGGCTCTATCAATGCAGAATCTTTCGCGTCGTTGAACACAGTCTCTTTGATTTCCGCGATTACATTCTGAGTTGACAGGTGCGTGCTAACGTGGCCAGGGACGTTCGACACGTGTGCACGTACGCGTGAACCTGTCCACCGTTTCAACGTTTCATCTGTCGCGACCGGCTCTATTTTATTATACAATCGCGCCTTCGGGCTCTTCGTTCCAAGTATCGATTCGTTCGCGTGTCGTCCGGGAAAAGAGCTTTTCACTTGGCTCAATGATAATCAATGAAACAAAAGAAGTCCAAGATAAATAAAAGAAGTCCAAGTTGCATTTAAATTAGAAAGATGTAGGTACCTGCGTTGTATCAATGAAGGATTGATCGGTCTGTAATAGTTTTTTTTTAGTTATCAATGAATGCATACAACTAGTAGATTCGTTCCTTTTTTCTGTCGCATTTCTTTTTTCTCTCTCTTTTATTAGTATCGTTATACGTTTTTCATTAGAGAAAACTATTCTATTTCCGATAGATCCACGTTTAATTGGATTGATCTAGATAAATTTTCAAAATCACTTATACCTGGAGAGAAAAAATTCAATTTACAATTTCGATGCGCGTGCACACTCATACTGCAATTTTTATGACACGAAAATAAATGACACGGTCACTTCAGAGTGATCTAATCTCATACGTTCGCCTATTTTCGTTAAATACGAATACGCGAGTTTTGATTACTACGAATTTTGATTACTGTTCAATATCGGTATTGTAACCGTGGCCGGAAATAATAGAGAGACCTCGAAACCGCAGGATGTTCGTACGTAGAATCATAAATGGTCAGACAAATTGTCTTTTAATCAATAGCGTTCGACGAAACTAGATACCAGAATTCTCTAAATCATCGCTATTAACAATCACACGTATCTCGATCGCTATAACTACATAAATCAAATATCTGTATACTTTGATCTCTGAGATAGAAATTTTTTAATATTAACAAAAACGTCAGTAAGAAAATTACTCAACTATACATATCGTAATCGTTCAATCGCATGTAGATTAAATCTTTTCTTTCGAATTAGAATATTTCCAAAGATGAATGAATACAAATTTTATGTATTAATTATATCATAGAATGAATTAAATAATATTCTGTTCGTTTAAATTAGAGATTTTTCAAATGGCAGAACATCTTGGTGGCATCATTGCGGAGAAAAAGGAAGAAATTAAGAAAAACTAATATATATGCAAAAATGTCAGAGTGATTTATAACAAGGCTCGACAGATATCATCTGACAATCCCCGGCAATACGCGAGCATTAGGGCAGAACGTGTATGATAGGAGCGCTGATTCTGGGGATGGTGATAATAAAAGGGGTTGGCGTGCAACCGCAAGCGAGACCAGATAATTGCGCTGTCAGAGACACTGCCAGCCGGTTGCGCATTGATATCGCCTACAATTCTCCAAACTATTATTTTCGCCTGTTGCCTCGGCTGACATATTATGCGACGTCGCATGTCACAGTCCTCGATAAATCACATTCAATTTTGATCGTTCGCGTCAAAGAACCCCGCACGCGCAAAGCTACGTTTCATTTCCAAAACCGCAATACTTAATCTGAGTCACTGAGTTCAGTGGAGTGAATTAATTTTATGAATATTTTATGACAAAATAAAGATGACAAAATAAGTTTAGTAAAATTTAACTCTAAAGTGTACAGCTACGCAAGAGAATTTATTATGAAATTCTTTGAAATTGATTTACTTTTTCTTCGTGAGATTCTTTTTAAATATTCGCGGTAATGAAGAATTGAAAGGCCATTTATTTTTGAGATGAAACAGGCAACGGACGAGAGTAAGTATTATCAAGTTCATTCCACAAAGAACATCCTCGGTAGTTCTTGTAGATAAGTTTCGAGGGCTTTAATAGACATTCGTATCATGAGAGCACCATTAACTCTAGATTACAGCGCTGTGGTATTTACACAGCCCAGGGGCGTAACGTAATACGTGCTGTGTCCCTTTCCTCTTCTCAACCCTTGTGCTTCTGACCAGGTTCCCTCTCTATTTCCCTCTATATCTTCCTTTCTCATTCTCCCTTTCTATTCTGATTTCCTTCTCTATATCATCGTGTCTCTTTCTCTTTCTCTGCTCTCCCTTTTCCTTTCCTATCCCTCGTGCCATCACCGCATCATCCCTATTTGCTCGACTATCCCCTCGAAATGTATCACTTCGCCTCATTTAATATCGTGGGACGTAACCCGTAGTGACGCCATTGTTCCCGCTAACGGTGGATCACGGCTAAAATAATACCTGCTAATGGCTCCTGGTTTTAAACTGACAAACACGGGCCAAAAGTGTAATAATATAATGCGAGATAACCTGGCGTGTTGTCTTTGTTCCTACTGCTTATACGGCTAGCCGTAAATTCATCGTGTTTGCGTCTAGAATCACGTGGAACTATATGGACTCTTTGAGGGGTTGCAATCGTTGAAACAGAAGCGTTGCTTTGACGTCCGTAATTCGTTTCGATCAGCGGTTCATTGGGAACGAGTCATCTTACCGTCTTGTGTTAATGACGTTAAATATTAATATCTATTAATATCATCTTAACGTTATTATATCGTAATTAATATTAATATCTAAAATAAGTAATTAATATTAATATCTAAAATTATTTCCTTTAATATCGTATCTTTTGTAATGATAGAAATAGTTGATCAAACTTGCTATTTGTACAAAATTTTTCTAGCTATATTGTATAATCAAGCATAATCTTGAAAATAAAAATTGAAAACAGATGGAAGGAGATCAAAGTATTTCTTCCAAAAGATATTCGGAAAAATCTCTGATTATATCTTTAAAAAAAAAAAAACTATCTCACTCGCGAAATTTAATCATTTAGTTAGTACAAGTATTGAAGATTAACAAAATTTACTAGCAGATCGCGGTATTAATTATACATAGGGAAAGATATACACGTATAAAATATATATATATATATATATATATATTTAGCATTTTGATCATGGTTGTTTTACTCTTTTCTTTCGGACGCTACTTTTTTTTCACGGAACATTTACGGTAGAGGTAGCACGGTTCTTGCGAAATTAAAAACTTTACGGGCACGTTCATTTCGGCCTTTTAAGCGGCACGAGAAAAAACCCGTGAAACGCGGACATATTCGAATAGCGTTTTCATCTCGCACACGATCCCGCGAATTCTCCGTCATAAAATCCCGACGCGATCTTCGGGACGCGAAGTACGTCCAGAAATATTTTATTATTCTCGCGTATTATACCGTTGTATAATTTCGCGGACGAAAAAAAAAAAGGAAGAAGAGAGAAACGGAATGGAGAGAAGGGTGAGAGAAAGAAAAGAGTAGGAGGACGAAGTACGTTGCACGCGGCTATGCACCCGACACAGCAGTAATTTGTAGTTTTTACGAGAAATTCTATATTTGCTCGAGCTTTTCATTAACCCGCTCGTGTTAACCGAGCTGCGACACGGTAATAAGGGTTGCATGAGCAAAAGGGGTTCAGCAGCCGACTGAGCGCAGCTATGAGTCGGTATACCGAAAAGAAGAGGGGCACACAGTTAGAAAAAGCAAGAAAAAGAGCGACAAAGTGGGAGAACTTTCTGCTACTAATTAATTATTTCCGTAACAAATACCAGTAGAAGCGAAGCTCTTACATCGAACGAAACGAGAAACGAGAAGAAGATAGAATCGGTATACGTACCTGCTGCGTTTATTAAGGAGCATTCTGCTTTCTTGAAGAAAACCTGAAACAATATTTGCAATTAGATTTTTGTCATGAAAATATTTATCGAAAAAACTAATAAGAAGTGTTTGATCTGATAAGATGGTTATCAACAATTTGTAATATTATACCATCAATCTGAAATCAAGCGATAGACAAATTCGAATTTGTTAAGGGAGTTTTTAATCAATAACTATTATATGATATCTCATGGTATGTGTATATATATATTACATATAGATAGATATATTACACATATATCATGAAATACATACATGTATATATAATTATAATACATCATTCACTTGATTTCTCATTTATCTTCATTATGGATTTATATCAATTAGTAATTTTTCATCGTAACAATCATTCTTGAACTTCCTTTACTTCCTTAAACTTCCTTTTTCACTATTTTAATAAATTCTAATTCACTACTTTCTAACTTTCGAAATATTTAAATATTCCTCCTTTACATTCCGCCATTTTAAACAAGTGTTTAAATAACTCTGACAATGAACGAACGAAAATGATATAGAGTGAAAAACGCTTAAGATAGAATTGTAATCATAGATCATAGAGAAGCATAGATACAATACCTATATTGGTATAGAAAAATTGGCAGCTGCCACAGTTCACACAGAAGTATAGATGTTGCGTTACAGGATACAGGAACACAAGTGTAGACAGGATATCTCGAGAACTTAAGTACTCGACTAGATCTTCCGACACCTATTGGTATCTTGTCCGTTGCAGCCACGAGTGGCGCTCGTTTCTCGAGTTACAAAACTTCGCTAGCCAAGGGCCGTGCCTAAAACAATATTGGTGGGGGCATCGAGAGTCCGTACGACCCCTGCACATTAGATATTTATTTAAGACCGTCCGACACGGCTGCTTTGCTCTTGTTCACCGTGGAATTCATGCTTTGTATATGTGCAAATACATACATATGACGTGCAGCTCACTGACGAAGGTACCAAGTAGTCAGGACTAAGTACCCCAAACCCGAAATGTTGACCTAGTTAATAGCTTCGTGTTTGATTTGACTACTGTTGTCCGGATAAGCGGTTCCGTAATGCGAGTCCTGCGCTTTTATTATTATCGGCCATGAAATTCAATACTATTGAAATTATTTTCAATTAGGAATACACTTCTCTTTCTGTATTTTCTATATTTTTTTTTTTTAGTGAATATATAACTTACTAATACATATTGTGGGAACATAACATCTTCTGATTTTCCTTTTTTATTTCTTTTTTTATAATCAGTATATTTAGGTAACTAGTCAAATATATATATATATATATATGTTTTAATAATCTCAAAATAAATATAAATATGCTACAAGATATGCTACTAATTTATGTATAATATGCAATTTATGTACAATATCAACAATATGCAAATTGTTGATATATATGATAAAGTAGTATTTTAATAGAAAATATTCTTCATATAATATTCTATATAATATTCTTCCAAGCGTATAGAATTTAATTCACAAATCTTAATGAGGAGTCCATGGAATCACAAGTTACCAAATTTTAGCGAAGGAAGCTTTGTTTGGAACTCATTGTTTTCTAATTTCGACAAAGTCCTTTATACAAATTTATGTTTCTTACACTAATGTTCATGTCAAAAAAGGGAATGATCAAGATAATCTAATGGAAAATATATTCTACTAGATTTGAAAATAGATTAGTAGATTAATTTAGATTAGTAGATTAATTTAAGTCGAAATTTTTATATTTATATTAATTCTATCTACCACATTCAAATAATATTTATTTAACAGGTTTTCAATTATCAATCAGCACTTCAACAGGATATATATAAATAAAATAGAATTTTACTAATATTTTACTAACCAGTCATACATTGCGACTCGTTTTGTGGAATGAATTGTTAAAAATTGAACCGAGGACCGAAATCCCCGGGGGGCAAGAAAACTAGAATCCAAAACTTGGAAGCCAACGAAAGCCATTGATCCTAATGCACAAGGAAGCGATCACTCGCTCTGGCGATCAATGAAGAGAGAGGAAAAAAAAGACTTTTCGCAAGCCGACTTACACGTTTCAGTGACGATGTAACGACTTCACAATTCGAGCCGAGGCCTGTTAATCCTCCACCCGATCAATCGAGCAGGGATTCGTGCTGTTTACCGAAACATCCGCAAACTCTCTTTTTCAATACTGCATTTTCAGCTGTGCTTCTTTTTGAGTGAAACACACTGTGTCATAATTCGACTTATATATTCCTTTAGTCGGAAATTTTACGCTTCTAAATTAAAAGTTCTAATATTAATTTTGAGATAAAATTCATTCTTGGAATTATATTGTATTTAATTCGAAAGTTCATTTCATTTTGCAGATATTTTTAGAAATTGTTGTGATATCTATGAAAACTTATTCATATTATTAATTGGAAAAAACGAGTTAATAATTTTATAGCAATTTCCGTGTAATTTTATGTACATTATATTACCTTCAAATACCATCTGCACAAACGTTTAAATAGTCTATAGAACGGTTAACGTGTGTACAAACATTTCGAAGTTCTTTTATGCAACATGAAAGGATGTCTCTTACGGTGCTTGGCATTGAAAAGCAGCAAATCGGGCCACTTTGCTTTATAGTTACCCCCGATGTTTAGGATCAGAAGAATGGAATCTGTGTAAATTTAAAAATTTGTTAACTAATATTTGTGCGATTCATTGAAAAGAAAGAAGATTACAGAATATAAAATATAAAAAATTATAGAATACTTTTTTACGTTGATCTTGAATAATTTTAGTATCATAATATTTCATAAATTTAGTTTCATAAATCCTTAAACGATTCAAAACGTTTTAATAGATTAAATTTATGGATATGGCAAAAGCATATTTCTGCGTTCTGTCTTTATTCGGTTTTCTTTTTCTCTGCCCCCGAATAGCGCGATTGCTATTCAGATATTCGAACCGCGGGGCTTTAATAAAAATATTTGCTAAGAAAACAGTTTGCTCGAGGTACCCGGGAAGCAAGGCGAGTTATTCTTATATCCAGATTCACGGCGTATTCTTCGCTCATGATTTCCATAAATGCAGTAATTCGAAATAAAACGGCTGTCGGCATTTCTAACTTTTAACGGTTCCTATCTTTATACGTTTATAAACATAGTAAACATAAAATAAATATGTCAATGATTGAATATTGAATTTAATCAATATTTTACATCAAGAATTACACCAAATATAAATATTAATAATATATTGTTTTATTTTATGTTACATATTTGATTTACTTACATTTCATTCATATTATTCGTAAATTTAAAATATATGTAGTCACTATCCGCAATATGTTAATATTTAAACATACATATGTTCCATATTTGTAACAACACATTCTTCATTTTTACAAATACTCATTTTTTTAAGATTTTTCCTTAATCTGTATCTACGACGATGCTTCATAGTATATCCAATATTTTCCATTTGATATTTATCTGTTGTTATATTGTATGCTTCAATATAATGCTACAAAAAAATAATAATGTATATGATATGCCACGAATAATACATAATATTTTCTGTCTTATTATTGTAACAGTACCTTATTGTCTTCGAAAATACAGAAAATATTGTTAAATTTTGGAGATATATGTCGTATGCAACTAAAAGTATTATTTGCAACATCTTGACATTTGCATGCCATATCTTTAGAACATAACTGTAAAAATTATAAATTCCACAAAAATAAAATTTATATTAAATTCATTCCTCATATACAATTGTTCTTACGTATATGTACATACTGCAAGATTTGAATCATAATCACTTGGACAACCTGAGGATGGAATACCTCTAGATCTTTCGCCTCTATACTCTATTAACAGAGTTCTACCTTTTGGTAATACTTTTTTTAAAAATGATGTTCCATCTGATGGACGTTGTATACCAGCTATTCCTAAAATTGTTGAAAATAAGTCAACACTGCTAATAGGTGCAACAATCTTTGATGGTTGAATTCCAGGACCTCGTATTAATAATGGAACTCTAATATCTGTTTCATATGGTTGACGTTTATCTATTGGCATACTGAATTGACCTAAAATAATATGTACAATCCATGTATAAATTCTTATCTGATTTATATTAAAATTTATTTAAACATAAAATACCAATATGATATCCATTATCAGAAGTAAATACAATATAAGTCTTATCTAAAAGATTTTCCATTTTTAAAGCTTGATATACATTTCCTACAAGCTCATCAACAGCTAACAATGTTTCCCATCTTTTTCTATAGATTTCATCTAACTTAGGCAATAAATTATCAGGAAGTGGAGATGGACCTCTTTGCACTAACCAATGCTTATCCTATTAGTAATACAGTTTAATAACAGTTTAATAATGTAATAACATCAAAATTTATCTCAAATCCTATACCATTTGAGTCTGTGTGTTGAAATTAGGTGTTCTTTTAGCTTTTACATCCTTATATTTATCAATGTGCCTTATTGCTGGTGTAAAAGGTGCATGAGGTGCAGGTGGTGCTAAAACCATAAGAAATGGTTGACTATTTGGATTACGTGACTTAATAAAGTCTACTGCCAAATCACTCTGAAATATAATTTTAAATTCACTGCATATATATACATATATGTACACACTTTTCATACTTACGATTACATCAGTAAGATAATCATTTGGTTTATTACCAAACATTTTTTCAGTTCCATTTATTGACAAGGAATAATTATAATATTTTGAATTCCCAATAAGACCAGCCCACCAATCCCATCCTACTGGTACATGAGCAGATCCACCTACTATTTTATCTCCATACTCCATACAATTTTTTAAATTAAATTTTATTTCTTTACTTTATGTGAAATTGATTGTAATTTATATTTTGTATGTATGCACCTGATTTAAATATTTTCCAGCATAAAAAGTTGTATAAAACATTTCTTTTTTCAAATATGCTGCAAATGTTTTTGGTTCTTGTATCTTTTGCCATTCAATACTATTACAGCCTCCACTAATTGAATTATTAACTACTAAATGATTATGTTGATATGTTCCAGTTAAAAGTGATGCTCTATTTGGGCAACAGATAGGCGAAGCAACGAACTAATTATTGAAAGAAATATTTTTGATTAAACGTAGTTACAATTAATAATTATTTATTATGGAATTAAATCTCTAGCTTACACAATTTGAAAATGCTGCACCTTTACTTCCAATTAAATCCAATGTATTTTGCATTGGCGTCTAAAAATAACAATCTAATTAGTTCACACGTTTCTTCATTTCGTATTTCTTTTTCATATTTACCATGCCATTAAGAAATATATCCAAATCATCAGCAATGATCAATACAATGTTTTCTGCACAATTTGATAACAATATACGACTTATAAAGATCCAAATTAATAAAACAATCATTTTCTTTTGAAGTTGAAATAATTTTACGCTATTGAATTGATAACTCTTTCGAGAATGGACATGTGGGTATTCCCCTAATGAAATGCATATAAATACATATATAGGTATTCCCCTAAATTTATTTCATGTAATCTATTTAAAAACAGTAAAATTCTATACTAAATTGTCATATAAATTAAATTTATATTCTATATTACATACTATTTACCATCAACTATCAATAATCAATTAGAATTATTATAAAATTGAAATGTTAAAATTAGCTACAATATTACAAAATCAAATTTCCTTTAATAATGTATAAAGTTCATACCAGAGGACACTAGTATCCAGTAAATTTGTACGCACAAAAATATTTAAATATTGTATAAAAGGAAAACATTTAGAGATAAAAAATAAATTAGAGTGTTTACATTTATAGATTTCATTGATAATAAATTATTAATTGATAATAAATATATAGTGTTATTAAATGTTACAATTAAAATGTTTATAAATGCAATAACTCGGTATTACCAACTGTCATCTAGTGCCTGTTCAATTTTATACATTAAATAAATAAATAGTTACTCGTTGCATGATTTCAGTTTTCATAACCAAAATCATTGTAATGGGTACTATTAAGTGAACAATATGAATGAAAAAGTGCTTTTAAAGTTTTGAGGTTAGCAGATTCAGGTTAGATTGGCAATGTGCTGTGAAACTGTTCGTGGCATCCGCTTCCAGACTGCATTTACTTGTCGCTCACATGTGTCGGTTGTGTGCTGAAAATATTTTCATCTATTTATTGTGAATATTTATTAACTTATTAGTAAAAATGAATATTTCAACGAACGAGAACAATCCGAATACCTTAAAACTAATAATTGCAGCTAAATTTGCTCAGCAAGCTGTTACCGTAAAAACGGTACAACCAAAAGGTGAGAAATTTAATGTTTCCGCTTTAAATAATTCAATTTCTGATTACATGATGAAATATCATATGTTTGTTTCACCTGAAGATCATTTTCATAATTTTTAAATCCTTTGACGTTTATAAGTTATCTGTAGCTTTAAATTAGTAATGTTTAATATATATATATATATATATATATATTTATCATATAATTTATATTTTATCATGTTAGCCTTGAAATTGAAACAATAAAATACTATAATTTTTAATTGAAACAACATGTTCTTATTGAAGTAGAAAAATATGTTTTTATTTAATAATCATTTATTCAATAATCATACACGATAGATTAATTTTTTATATTGTGAATCTTTAATTATGCAACATTATTGTAATTGGCATAAAATGAGTTACTCTATTTTAAAAACTCTACAGCAAGCTTTTTGGGCCGTTTACCTTCCATTGAATTTCCATCTGGATTAATATTATTTAGTACCAATGCAGCAATGCAGCTCATAATACCTTTATCTGAAGAATTTAAAGTTGTTAATAATAAATGGTTGGAATGGGAAATATCTCAGTTACAGGTAAAACAATAAATTGATTTAGATGTTCATAATGTACTTTAATAAAATATTTAATCATAATTATTATATTTTTATAGCCAGCTATAGCACTTTATGGTAGTACAGGAATTTACAAGACTTCCCAAAAATCATGTTTATGGTCGTTATTAAAAGAACTTAATAATGCATTAAAAGACAAGCAGTACTTAATTAAGGTAATTTATTGTAATCTTAATTCATTATTATTGTAATAATAATGAATTAAAATTATTGTAATAATAAAGTTAAGATTATTGTAATAATAAAGTTAAAATTTTATTAAACTCATTTTAGGGTAATAATGACTTATCATTGGCAGATATATGTATTTGGGTAACTCTATGGTCTACTATAATGGTCACAGAAATTGGGAATGAATTAAATAAAGAATATTTATCGATTAAAAATTGGTTATCCAATATAGAATTGCTTACAGTTATTCAGGTTCTTATTATTAATGTTATATTTTTTATTAATATTAATGTTACAGTTAATGATACTTATATATTTAATTGTTTTAGGATTCTATCAAAGAATATAGTTTTGAAAGAGGCTTAAAAGCAATTTTAAGTATACAAGCTGCATCTTGGTTTCCTGTTAATGCTACTTTAAATTCTAAACCTCCTAAACCAGTTGATGTAAACTTGCTTTAATAATTATTAATATATATTATTACATTTTCCTATATTTTATTTTAATTTCAGCTTAGTCCAACAAAAGAGAAAGAAATAGAAGCTGTTAGTCAACAAGAAATACGGAATATTTCAAACAATTGGTCTTCTAAGTCATATCCTGATGTAAAAAATTTTCCTTATCCTGTGTAAGCTTAAGTGTACATAAATGATTTTATCTTAAAAGAAATAATAAATACATAATCAACATAAATCTACATATTTTTAGGTTGCCAAAAAAAGGTGAAAAAAATATTTTAATAACATCAGCATTACCTTATGTTAACAATGTTCCTCATTTAGGAAACATTATTGGTTGTGTTCTTTCTGCCGATATTTTTGCCAGGTTTGTCTCATAATATTTAAATTTTGTAATAATATTACACAAATATTTATATTTTTAAATAAATTTCTTGTTCACAGATATTGTAGACAAAGAAATTATAATACTCTTTTTATTAGGTACGTATTTTTCTTATATAATGTAATAATAATAATAATAATGGCTTTTAAGTGTAAAATTCATAATAAAAATGAAACAAATTTTTAGTGGTACTGATGAATATGGTACTGCTACAGAAGCTAAAGCTTTGGAAGAAAAAACAACACCTCAGAATATTTGCAATAAATTTTTTGATATACATAATGATGTCTATCGATGGTTTAATATAGGATTCGACTATTTTGGTCGTACAACTACACCAGAACAAACAGAGTAAGATAAATCTAGTAACTACAAGATTATTTTAAAGTATACTAATATAATATTTAATTTTTCAGAATTGTGCAGTCATTTTTCTTGAAAATTAAATCAGAAGGATACATATTAAGTGAAAGTGTAGATCAGCTTCTATGCGAATCTTGTGATAGGTTTTTGGCAGATAGATTTGTAGAAGGAACTTGTCCAAGGTGCAAATATGAAGATGCACGTGGAGATCAATGTGATGGATGTGGTCATTTAGTGAATGCAACGGATCTAATATCACCGCGATGTAAAGTATGTGGTAATAGGCCTATTGTTAAAAAGTCACAACAGTTTTTCTTGGATTTACCTAAGGTAAGAATTTTCTTTGCGATATCTGTGATTTTATTTATTATAAGCATGTCATATTTTAATAGAGAATATTATTTTGCAGTTAGAAAACAAGTTAAAAGAATGGTCTTCGAAAGTAGAAAAAGGATGGTCAAGTGTTGCAAGAGTGGTTGCAAAACCGTGGCTACGTGATGGACTTAAACCGCGATGTATAACGAGAGACTTAAAATGGGGAATACCCGTTCCAATAAAAGGTTTTGAAAATAAAGTATTTTATGTTTGGTTCGACGCTCCTTTTGGTTATATCAGTATTACAAAAAAATATACAAAGGAATACCAACAGTGGTGGAAGCCTAAAGATATACAAATTGATCTATATCAATTTATGGCAAAGGACAACGTTCCATTTCATGCAATCATGTTCCCTGCTTATTTGTTAGCAGCTAATGAAGGTTATACATTATTAAAGCATTTGATGGCAACAGGTATAAATTTAATACATTAGAGACAAAATAACTATATTGATAGATATTTTCAAATTATTTTATTTAAACAATAAATTATTAATGATTCAATCTGGTTTTAGAATATCTCAATTATGAAGATACAAAGTTTTCTAAATCGAGAGGTATTGGAGTGTTTGGTACTGATGCTAGAGATACAGGTATACCGGCTGATGTTTGGCGATTTTATCTCGCATACGTCAGACCCGAAACGCAAGATTCAAATTTTAACTGGGTAGATTTAGCAACTAAAAACAATAGTGAATTATTAAATAATTTTGGAAATTTTGTTAATAGGTAAGTATTTCTTTATGACTGAATATGAATTCTAGTTTTTGTTTTTAATAGTGTTTTCAATAAATAGGGCTTTAGTATTTGTGGAAAAATATTTTGAGTCTAAAATACCAGCAATAGAACTTCAAGAAGATGATTTAGTATTACTAGCATTGGCTCAACGTGAATTATCATCTTATATTCATGCTTTAGAGCAAGCTAAATTACGCGATGGTTTGAAGCATGTTTTAGCGATTTCGAAACATGGAAATCAATATATGCAATTCCAAGAGCCATGGGTGAAAATCAAGGGAATTGACAGCGATAAGTAAGTGCTATGTCAGTTTTAATTACATAATAAGATTATGAAGTTCGTAAGTTCGTACTGTAGGCCTTTACATGTTTTCATGAACATATTTTCTCTTTCTAAGATTAAATATTCTGTTTTATTGCATGCTCTCCCTATTTTATTTTGTTGTTTTCGTTTCACGAATGGGAATCCATATTTTGTAAAATAATTTATTATATTAGAGATTAGAATATCTTTATTTCCTAGGTACCCTTGTTCAATGAGGATTTATGTTGCTGTTACATGACTTAATTTTATGCTATAAAATAAGTCCTGTAAACTGATTGTGACTGTTAATCAACTTTCATATATTAAATTATATTGTACAGGTCTGTTACAGTACTTGTGAACATTTGCTTAATAGAACTAAGTGGCATCATTGTTTTTGATTTAAACGTAATGTAATTTTGTATCTTTTTTATTGTTTGTAGAAGAAGAGCTGGAACGATCATCGGTATTTGTTGTAACTTGGCATGCCTTTTATCATCTTTATTGGCTCCATTCATGCCATGTACAGCTCGCGAATTAAGATCACAATTAGGATTGCAAACTAACAATTATGGCTATATCCCTGATGAGATTACAAGCATACTTCCCACAGGACACAAAATTGGCAAACCATCTCCTCTATTTAAAAAGATAGAGGAGAAAGATGTAGAAACATTAAGAAAGAAATATGCTGGTAAACAAGATACTACAAATAACGACGAACATGGTGATGTCAAGTCTTTAGATAATGCAATCGCAGAACTGGTTGGTAAATTTTTTAATTAATGATGCAAAATTTAGGATGTATTATATATTTCTTTATTTTCAGGATACTAAAGTTAAAGAACTAAAGGCCAAGCACGATAAAAGCGGATGGCCATCTAAGCAAGTTCAGATTTTCGTAGATTTAAAAAATAAACTTTCTGACCTTATAAGTGAAAAAAATAAATCTTCCGAATTAAAAAGTAAAAATCCTGAGAATTTTGTACCTGAGCAAAATGGAGATATTTCAATGGACGTAGCAAGTTTGGAAGCGGCTATCACTAAACAGGTATAATAAAATAGTATATTGATAATTACTTTGAGTGCCCGATTTCCTAATTATTTTTGTACAATTGTTATTTTGATTTTAGGGCAATCTTGTACGTCAATTGAAAGCTAAAGAAGAAAAATCAGTATGGCAACCTGAAGTAGAAAAATTATTGAAACTAAAAAAACAATTAGCAGATCTCACTGGAACAACTCCAGCTCCGACTGACAAAAAATCGAAAAAAAAGAAATAAACAGATTATTAAACAATATGTATACATTTCACGTTATTAAAACCTATAAAGGTTTTATATAATAAAAAATAATTGTACATTTTACAATTGAACATATGCACTTTGGAATAATACCACATAGTATTTTTCACATTTAAATAATGTAATCTATAGTTTATTTAATAAAATTAATTTATACATCGAGCATAAAGTTATAAAATTTTAACAATTTTTATTATACGTTTCTTTTTTGACGTAAAAAAATAACATAATTCATTTATTTAAAACAAAATTTTTTTATTTTTTAAAAATTATATTTCTTTTGGTAGTTAGAAGTTTTTTTGTCTTCACCATAGTTTTGATTTGTGGTACAATATTTTTCTGATTACATTTTTTTAATCGATTTTCAGATTCTTTTGTTTGTTCCTGCTTTTTGTGCCTTATATGAAAAACTACATTTTCCATAAAACAAATAACAGCTGATAAAACAATGCCAAAACATAAAACAAGTATAATTGGTATCATTTCATGAATTGTTACACTTGATACGTAATGTTTATCTTTGTTACAATAAGGTTTTCTGTAACTCCAACGTAACACTTCTCGCTTTCGAATTCCCGAAGTATATATTCGAATAAGGCTATAATAATATAATTACTAATTCAATTAGAAAAATAAACCAATACACACCATTTTTATGGACTTATTCTTATGAAATTTTCTTACCCTATTTTTGTTATTTCTTGGAAAGGACTACGTTGAGCTGACCACAAACCTATCGAATTAGGGCGAAACAAATGAACTTCGGTAAGCTGACAGATCATTTCTTTGTCAAAACTACGATCTATAAGTGGATAAACATTAGTGGGCTCTGCATGATAAGCAAATCTGAGATTTGAGATTCCTTTTACGCCGTCCTCTAGAGAAAGAAATCTTTTATCTTCTGGTATGGTATTCCAGTATTTTGCAAAATATTGAACATCGTCCGCAGGGTACTAAAAACATGTTCTCCAGCCGTAAAAAGTTAATATCCACGTGAACAGAAATGAAATTTTAAAGAAAAATTTGTTTTCAAGTGGATGCAAAATTAAATCTTACTCGTAATAAATAATTGAAATATATATCTTTGTACGCTGCAAGTTTCATTTTACTTTTCACTAATGAATACAATGAATCGTTCATTTTATCTAAGGGTACATTCAACCGACTAGATACTATTGCTGCTGAATAATAATTATAAACGAGCAAACCAAAGATTAAAGTATGAAGAAAAACAACGCGGCTTGAAAATTGAGTACTGATAAATGGTAATCCTGCAATATTAGAATATGAATTGAGTTTTTTTTAACAAATAAACACTTATATTATTGTAATAAATTTTTGCTTAATAAACCTTGTTGACATAGTGCAGCGACAGTAATGAGGACTGTGATCCCATAATCAGCAACATGTGTTTCAAGTTTTAAAATCATCCACAAAACGAAAATGATGATGATTATTAATAAAAATATCACGTACCAAACATTTCTCGAGAATGGTCTAAAGATTATGTTCATATCCACTTTTAACGAAGGTTTAGTAAGAAACATAAAGCAGGTTCTGTAAAAAATATTTAAACAATTGTTTTGTGCTTTTACACACTGCATATTATTTGTTAAAAATGCTTATTATATATGTTATTTATAAAATAGATATATATATAAAAATATAGTTAACTTTTACAATACCTTATGGGCCAAACTTGCAAAATTACGTCCGCACGATTGAGTCTTTCAATAGTTATAATTGACGGAAAATATCCCAGGTGATATTTACCTTGATGAAGGCCAGAAATCAACGGTCCAACGCTATCATTCTTTTCCCAATGATCCAACTCTATTACTTCAAAACTAGAAATAAGTTACGTGATATATGAACAAGTAATCATAATATTATATAATACAAAAATGAAAAATTACGTGAAATTGAATAGATCTTTAACGTGTTCCATAATAGCAAATCCAAATTTAGACCAATTGTCCGTGTACGTGATACTCTGTTCTCGCAAATATTCTATCAAACTTTGATCCTTGTGTCTACCTGTTGTCTATGTATAAAAATATCAAAAAAGTGAATGAAATTAAATAGGATATTTAAACAGCAAATTTCTTCATGTGAAGCTTGTATTAACAATATTCCTAGAATTTTTTTAGACATGCTTACGAGACCAGCAATTTTGATCCTCATTTTATGATAATCCCATCTTCTGGGAAATTTATCTGTTTGTAAAGTAATCTGTAATCCATTTTGTCCAGTCCAGGTACCAAGTTCCGTAATATTTATCAAACCACCGCAAGATTTGCAATGATTATATACATCATATAGAAAATAATCATTGTTATTTGGTATAGCAATCGTGATATCCGTAATAATGCTAAACACGCTGTCATTTAATAGTTGGACAGTGTGGCTCATATTATTTCCCAGAATTAACCATTGATGCAAATGGTCGTACATGTAATGGGTCGAGGTCTAAATCAAATTAGTAGAATATCACCTAGTATGTAAACGATCTGCAGAAACATGATCTTGATAATACGATTATTACCTCGTAGAAAATTTTCATTATGTTTTCGTCTGCAACTGAACACCGCAGATCTAAAAATATGCCTAAATTCCAGTAAGTGGTACGCAAAAATCGGAATACATCGATTGTCGATGTAAAGTGATTTATAGACACCATAATACCGACATCATTGAGAAGTTTAACAACTTGGTAATCATCTGCGTGTAAATATTCTAACTTTAAAGATCGAACGAAAAATTGTTACCGAAGAAAAATTTTCTTAAACCAAAAATATTTTTAAGAAATGTGGTAATACTCGAACATAATATAAACATTATTTTATTCTTAATAATCAAGAAATTTGCTTCACAGAATGAAGGCTACCCACTTTCGATCTCTCCACAAGAAAATCCAGCCACTCTAGTAACATCTTTAAAAACGAAATAATCACGAATCATATTTGTTTTATCTGCATATAACGCAACGATTAACTGCAAGTAAAAGAAATTTTGAAAGTGCATCTCACTGCTATTGTTATCCTTTACTCTCGGTTGCAAATCGAACAACTAGAGCATTCGTGTTACAGTTGTCCCAGCAGTTGTCCCTTCTTTTATTTTTCATGAGAAAACATGTCATGTTTGACATTGATGGCTGTTTAAAAAATAGCTTGATTCTGAACTGTTACGTAGCATAGTAGCCTAATAATATCTGATGATCACTATGTTTCAGAAAAAGTGCTGAACATATACATTGATATAACTAACTCCTTTTATTTCGTTTCATCATTAATTTTATAAATTAATCGAACTAAATTACTAACTGAAATTTTGTTTCCTTATTAAATTGAAAGCCTATACGAATATTACGGATTTATATCTAATAAATTATCTTTGCTGTTGCCACTACTGAAGCTTCCTTTTGTTCCGCTCTTCTTTCTTCGACTTTCCTCTTTTCTTCTATCAAATACATGTAAATTTTTATCTCTATATTTACAATTATATACCAAATGAAATAACTTACTCCATCGAACGACGGTAAATAATATTTTCCACTATGCAAATGATTCCAGCTACAAGTATTCCGAATGCTAATAAAATTAGAGCTGGGGCAGTTTCATAGATCGTGATGCTTCTCGTGGACAAGGTATCGAGTTGACACTGTGGCTTCCTCGACGACCAACGTTTGATTTGCCGATTACGAAGACCCGTATTAAACATCTTTGTCAATCTTCAAAATACGTAAGTTAGTCGTTTATGCAAAATTATGGTACAAAAGCATACGTTAAAATCAACGATGGTTCGATGTGAAGATTATTAAGTGGAGAGTGAGCTCACCCTATTTTTGCTATTTCAATAAACTGTCCATTATGACTGGCGTACATTCCCATCACTGATTGTTTGAACAAATGAATCTCCGTCAGTACGCAGATTTTATTTGAGTCAAACATCCTCTCGACATAGGGATAGGCTGTATTGGGATCCGTATGATACGCTAAAATTCCTTGACCAACTTGTTTGATGCCCTCTTCTATTGAGAGATATCTCTTCGATTCTGGCAGAGGATCCCAGCGTTTCTTGCGAAAGTAATCCGACTCCCAGTTCAATCTCTATCAATAATGCCGTTAATATTGTAATATTTGTAACATTGATTTCATTCGCCTTAAATATTTTTTTCATTCGTTTTTAAATTTCCTTTTTCTTTGAGAAATGTTCAACTTCGTAAAATTTTAAAAAGAAAAATCTCTAACTCGAGGTTTCGACTTTTGACAATATTTTTTTTTTTCTTTTATCTAGATGTGGTGATCGAACCTACATATAAAAAATAGTTTAGATACGGTACAGCTTCCGCAGCGATCCTTATATTACTATCAGCAAGGACAGTTACGGAATCTTCCATCATATCTAGGGGTTCGCTCAATCGAGCCGAGACAATACTGGCAGAATAATAATTGTACATTATCCAGCTGTGTATTGTTATTTGGAACAACGCTATACGGCTTGGTAGTCGTTTTGGCAAAAAATTCGCACCTATTGAAATTTTAAATAATCTTGATGATTTTAAAAAGAATTACAATATTTTTGATATTCAATGGTTTGTACGTACCTTGCTGAGACAAAATTCCTACCGACAACACCACTGCTCCCGAATATTTTTCCCTCTTGCCGATATCCTCGCGATTCATTATTATTTTCATAACGAATATGGAAAACAATCCGAAAGCAGCAAATACATACCATGTTTGCCGTGTAAAGGGTTTTAGGAAGATTTCTAATTTGATCTTGTTCGTTGAAGTTGATAGCAGCATGAAACAGGGTCTGATCAGAGGTATCAAATTTTTTTTTCTTTTTTTTTTCTTTGTTATAAAATAACATTCCGTGGGTAATCTAATTTAAAAGATTTTCGTAATTTCTAATTAATCTTCCTCACCTAATTGGCCATGCCGCGCCGATGAGAGTTGCATAATCCAACCTTTCGGACACCATGATCCTTGGATTACTAGCGAAATCGATGTAATTCGAACGTAAGAATTCGAAAATCAAACCGTGTACACTGTGTCTGTCCCAGTAAATTATTTCCGAGGCATGAACGCTAAAATGGGGAAGACAATTGACATGACGAAACAAAACAGTTTATTATCCATCGTAATACCTGAAATTAAAAAGATCTCCTATGTGCAAGATCATTGCGTGTACAAATTTATGCATACTATCTAAGGATCTCGTATTTATGTCTTGCATGTAATCCTCGAGACGCATATCCTTTGGCCTATATTGAATCTGAGCAGAATACGATTCGAGTCATTTTTCGAGCAATTATCGAATTTAACACTGACACTCAATCAATGTTAGCGAACTCACCACGCCAGATATCTTTAATCTCATTCCATGCATGTTAGCCCTTCTGTTGATTAACGGTTGCGTTAGGGAAATCTTCAATCCAGATTCAGGATACCAAGTGCCTAGCTCAGTAACGTTTAGTGGCCCACCACGATATTTACAGTGATTAAAAACATCGTACAGATCATAGCCGTCTCTGTTCGATATAGCAAGAGCAACGTCTGTTATTATATTATAAGCGGTGTCGTTCAAAAAGGGAACACTCTGGTCGTAACTCGAACCCAGCACCAACCAATTGTACGAGTAATCGTACATTCGATACTTTGAGCTCTGAATTAAAGAAAGAAAAAAAGGAAAAAGATCAATATTCATTGCGAAACGACGAAATGTCGCGAATAGATAGAATCAAAGATAGAAGTTCCTCTCACTTCTGCAAAAATTCGCACAGCAGTTTCATTGTGACAACGTAAATCAATTACGACACCTACTGTCCAAGTTTCGCTTCTCATAAACCTACGGAAGTCGATTTTCACGCTGGGCTCCCTCATTATCGTAAATATGCCGATGGTGCTTAATGTTTTCACAAGATTGAAGTCACCTGGGTGTCACGCGGTTACATATAAAATCGCATGAACACTAGTTTCACACGACGACAATTATTCGTCCAAGCATGGAATTTCTTGTGAATAATTTACATTACATAATTCCATAATAAACGAAAAGAGTTGCTTACCTATAGTATCGCCACAAGAAAATCCCACAACGTTTCGTACGTTCTTATACACGAAATAATCTCGAACGAACGCGTGATCCTGCCCGTTCGAAATTAAAATGAATTGCAATAATATTAACAAGACCGCGTGCATTATGTTATTCTCTGTTTTAAAACAGAAATTCTGCTCGAACATCAATGGCGATCGAATCGAACGGCTCGGCATTGCCTGCCTCTCTGTTACATTATTTTATATTATTACGTCTCTATGACGTATGATGACAATAATAATAATAATAATAATGCAGAACGTGTCGTTTAGAATTCCGTTATAAAAGACAGGCTTGTCAAACGATCTCGAGCAATTTGGCAAATTGCTCGAGTCACGAAAAGGGATCGGCAGAGCTTGATTAATCAATCATTCATTCGACCGTCTCGTTTACAACGCGACAGGTTCAATAGGGGAGGGGAACAAGCTAAGTCTCGCGATCGACCGAATTTCCCGCTCGCGGATCGATCGCGTTATTATTTGCGTTTATTATTATTCATCTGCGTGCCGCGGCGTGTTTTATTAATTTTCCGTCAAAGGCTGCCTAAAATATGAATATTCCTCGGTAAGCTAGATATTAAAGGCGTATCGCGGTTCGGAAGGGAACATGGAACAACCCGGCGGGTTTAAAAATTAATTACACGATTGAAGATAATCAAACATGCTGCCGGCTTTGCCCGCGAAAATCAGTAATCAATATCGGTAATTAATTCGCTCGCAGATGTGGCCATATTTATATATTTCTGAATGATCACACGGTGGCCAAAGATACATGTACTTAATGACTCTGCGTGCGAAACAACGGCCACATTAGGTTGATGCGTATGTTTCTATAGAGAATTCGAACTGTTCTCGACTATTCATTGACTCGATCATCAATCGGTGAATAAACGGTGTTTCAAAGAAGCTACACACGTGGTCAAAGCTTTAGTAGAATCGAGGAAGCGAAATTTCATATGCGAAATTTCGAAATTCCATATTTATATATTTCTGAATGATCACACGGTGTCCAAAGATACATGTACTTAATGACTCTGCGTGCGAAACAACGGCCACATTAGGTTGATGCGTATGTTTCTATAGAGAATTCGAACTGTTCTCGACTATTCATTGACTCGATCATCAATCGGTGAATAAACGGTGTTTCAAAGAAGCTACACACGTGATCAAAGCTTTAGTAGAATCGAGGAAGCGAAATTTCATATGCGAAATTTCGAAATTCCATATTTATATATTTCTGAATGATCACACGGTGTCCAAAGATACATGTACTTAATGACTCTGCGTGCGAAACAACGGCCACATTAGGTTGATGCGTATGTTTCTATAGAGAATTCGAACTGTTCTCGACTATTCATTGACTCGATCATCAATCGGTGAATAAACGGTGTTTCAAAGAAGCTACACACGTGATCAAAGCTTTAGTAGAATCGAGGAAGCGAAATTTCATATGCACCAGCCTAATGAAATTAAGTGCGACAAAACATCGTGTTTGATATTCAATTGATATCACTCTAGAATCTAGCTAGAAAAGAATCTTTATGGTATTTGAAAATTGCCCCATTCATTGAAGAAGTTGAAATTTCTCAAACTCCGTAGATTCACGTCTCGCAACGATGGCAACTTCGAATTCCTATCGATCAGTCGCCTCTTTATCTTCGTGAAACGTGGAATGCTAAGGAAAGATAAGATTGATATTATTCATTGTAAAACTGTGATCTTTTTTTCTTTTTTTGCGCAGGAAAAATAATTTTTCCTGATTTTTCTAATTGGACAGAAATTGCTAGTTTACCGTATTGGGAAAATGAAGGAGATGATGTTCTCGACGATGCAAATGAGGATCGATAGAGCTACGGAGATGCACAGGAACATGAAAATCGGCGCAGCTTCGTGAATCGATAGAGGTTCGGCGATAAGTAGGTTGTTAGGGCAGAATGGTTTCCTAGCCGCCCATCGGTTCAACTCGCGTTTCTGAATGCCAACGTTTTGAATTTTGGTCAAACTAAACGAAAAAGGGAGAACGTATATCCTCAAAATATTCTCGAGTTCGCAGCATTTCAATTAATTTCGATCGACGGTTTTTGTGCTCGCGTCTAAATGCACACTACGTGCTATATAGGCGTAATAATTTACATGTATGTTGACTTTCGTACCCCACTTTCATCAGTTCGGTAAAAGGGCTGCGATGCCTGGCATAAAACGCGAGGATAGCACGGAACAGATGAACCTCCGTGAGCTCGCAAATACTTCGACGATTGAACGAATGCTCGATGTACGGATAAGCTGAATCGATCATCGTGTGATAAGCCAAACGACCCTCCGCCACGCGATTAAGTCCTTCTTCTAGTGGCAAATATCTATCCGACTCCGGTATTTTCGTCCAACAATTGTTGTAAAAATATCTCACTTCCTTGTCCGGTACCTACATGTATATAAACACAAAAATTTGAAGACGTTGAAGAAAAAAACTTCATTTATTTATAAATATTTTTTGTTTCTTTTCTCATTTAATACATCTTTTCGTGAAAGTCATTACCTGAAGAAAGGAGCGAATATAAGGTGTATATTCCGCCGCGAATTTCATATTGCTCTTTGCCAAACTAATCAGAGAATCGTTCATCTTCTCGCCCTTGTTTCTCAAACGATTTGACACGACGCTCGCCGAATAATAATTCAGAATTAACAGGCTAAAGAGCAAAGCTTGGAGGAACGCTATGCGACTTGCGCAACGAGTTGGAACGAACGCAGAGCCTAAACGAACGAAGAGAGTTTCACGTTCGAAAAAGAAAAAAAAAAAAAAAAACAGAAACGTTTCTCGATTGATATATTTTATACCTTGTTGAGACAAAGCTCCTATCGTGAGCAAGACGGAGAGGCCATAGATCTCCATGGGAGCACGAACGCCTTCTAATCTTAGAAAAATGATTAAAACGGTCGTCACGGTTCCTATCATAGCCAGTATCACGTACCACACTTTCACGGACAGGGGTTTCAGAAATTGGCCTGGCTTGATTTTCGTCGACGAAATCGTGCGAAACATAAAACACGACCTGCGACAATGAGATACGAATAATTTAAACTTTTTTCAGATCATTCAAATCTTCTTCGATCGGTACATAATAGCTCACGTGCTATTTCTGAGAATATATACGAATGAACGTGAGATACATAAGACGTAGGCAGAAGGTACAAAGAAAGTAGAAGTAGAAGTATACCGTATTGGCCAGACCGGGCCAATTATGTCTCCGTTGTTCAATCTGTCGACTTTCATCGCGACTGGGCTTGCCGAAAGGTCTACGAGCCTCCTTTTAAAAGCCGTGAAAACAGGGCCAGAATTATCGAATCTTCTTTGCCCATTTATTTGTACAACGTCTATGCTGCAAAGATAGAGGCCAACAAATGAATTAAAAAAAAAAAAAAGAAAATTAACACATGCTCGCCACGATTAAACGATAATTGCGCTACTTGTAGTATTATTGAGTTTATTATGGATTTTACGTGAAATTGAAGATGTCGGACAAATGTTGCAACAACACGTATAAAAATTTCGATCGGCCGTACTTTGACTTCATGCTGTATTGCGACATTATCTCGTGAAGCGACATGTTTTCTGGCTTGAAATTGATCTGCAAGTTTCGCGTCGTGTACTCGACGTCTGAACTGGAATTCTAATTTTGTCAATAGTAACGTTAGCAGACAACTTGGACAACTTACGACCACCCCGACTTTCAGTTTCATCCCGTGCAAATTTGCTCTTCTCTCGAATTTCGATTGACTCATGCTAACGTTCAATCCAGTTTTACTGCTCCACGTTCCGTAGCGTGTTATGTTCATCGATCCTCCCCGAGCTTTACAAGGATTGTAGACATCGTACAGAATATAATCGTTCGCTGATGACACAGCGATTATGACATCGGTAGAGACGGTGAACGCGCTGTCGTTTATTATTTCTGTCACGTGACTCAAGTTCGAGCCCAAAATTAACCATTTGTGCATCTCATCGTACATGGAATATCTAGTTGCCTATACAAGTGACAAGTGTAACATTCGTACAAGTGTAATAAGTCAGTATCATCCAGATTTTTGTCACCGACGTGAGGTTGTGATCGAAAATTGAAGAAAATAAGATTCTAGCAATTCCTCGTAAACAATCTAACGCAATGAAATTTTTGAACTCTGATCGAATAGCAATTATTATCATCGGATAGTTCCAACTATTTGTAAAAAAAAAAAAAAAACTCAAGCAAATTACTTACGTCCACGAGGATTCTAGTGTATTCTCTACGATCGCATCGTGAATCCAGAAAAACGCCCAACCAATTGTACTCTGCTCTTAGGACCTTCCTCGCGTCTAATTGCGACTCAGGCGTAGAATTCAACATTGAGATATACGTGGTGTACACATCGCTGAACGTTCTCGCGAGTTTAAAGTTATCTGCTTTTTGCGAAATGAAACAAGTAAGACATCTCGATACGCTTAATTGAAAGGAAACCTTTTGTAGGAAACATTTCGCTACGCACTCTCCGCGTTGTCGCAGGAGAATCCAACGATCCTTCTCACTTTCCTGAACGCGAAGTAATCACGGATAATGCTGTTTTCATTAACGCACAAGGTAGCAATTAATTGCACCATTAAAAGCAACAAGATACATGCTTGATTCATCGTGCCGAATTATCTTTCGAGCAAACAGACTCTCAGCGCAACAACTGCATCGGTCTCGCGCCGATATTTTTCATGAACATTCCACTATCGTATTAATATATTATGCTTCTATATTTATTAATCGCAAGCACTTTGAATTATCGACGCAACGGTCGTTTCGTATTTCTTCGTAAATGTTCCACGCTTATGATCTATTCATCGTTTCTGGATGGATAAATGTAAATGCCCGAGACGAGGAATGACAAATTTCATAGTAACCAATACAATATTTATTACCGTCTCGTCCCGCGAAAGTACGCGAACGAGAAAGACGTGTCGTCAACGTACATTGCCATTTTAATTAATATAATTTGTACTTTTCTTGTACGACGTGAAACGATAGCAGTTCGACTTTGATTTCGTTCGTCCGATTAATATTAAAAGAAAAAAAAAAAGAGAGAGAAAAAAACATATAGAAACAATATAGAATTCGGATGAAACTGTCGCACACTGCATAAATAATGTAAGTTGTAAATGACTAGTACAGATCATTTTGATGCCGCGAATACACGATCGTCACGTTTCCAAAACCGTCCATTCTCGCTTCACTCTACTGCGAATGGAGGCGCGTCGTTCGTTGTCAAGTAAAACTTTCCTCTCAGTCTGAAACGAATAAAGCGAAATTATACCAATCCAATACATGCAACAAAATCGAGAAAGAAGAAAAAAGATAATCTTACGACGTGGACGCGTACTCTCCCATCAGTACAACCGGATTGTAATCGCAACGTCCCTCTTTGTAATTCTCCCAATTCTCGCAGGTTCTAGCTTTGAAACCAGCCGTGCTACCTATACTCTCCGTCATGAACTGATGGGCTCGCGAATGGCTGCAGTAAGCTGATTGACGTGAAATTCTAATTAAAATTCGTCTCTCTCGTGAGGTGCTTTTCGTGAAAGATTTGAAAGAAATGAACGAGATTCGTTTACTTGAGGTCGGCAGGAAGGAGCATCCTGGTTGCGGGAACTTTCCATTGTTGGGATAAAAGTCGGCGTGGCCAAGCGGGGCCAAAAATCCAAATGCAGCCCCGCTCGTGTGAATCACGTCCACGAATTGAGCGTCGGTTGGATCTAATCTGAATTCTGGCTCGACGGGGCCGGAGATCGTCTCGAACAGTGGACTGGCTGGATCTAGGCCTTTGAATTATACCGCGTACGATTGTTAAGAAATTGTAAGATAACGAATCTGCGATCTACAACTGGTGGTATTGAAAATAGATAAAAAAATACTATGAAATGTTCTCTTCAAAACTGTTAAGTACACCCGTGTCGTTTTTTTTTCGAATTTAACAAACATTTAATTAATATTTTACTTCAAAATCACAGATTTGTTATCTTGCAATTTTTTAACAATCTGAATTCTGACTCGACGAGGTCGGAGATCGTTTCAAACAGTGGACTGGCTGGATCTAGGCCTTTGAATTATACCGCGTACGATTGTTAAGAAATTGTAAGATAACGAATCTGCGATCTACAACTGGTGGTATTGAAAATAGATAAAAAAATACTACGAAATGTCCTCTTCAAAATTGTTAAGTACACCCGTGTCGTTTTTTCTTCGAATTTAACAAACATTTAATTAATATTTTACTTCAAAATCACAGATTTGTTATCTTGCAATTTTTTAACAATCTGAATTCTGGCTCGACGAGGCTGGAGGTCGTTTCAAACTGGCTGGATCTAGGCCTTTGAATTATACCGCGTACGATTGTTAAGAAATTGTAAGATAACGAATCTGCGATCTACAATCGGTGGTATTGAAAACAGATAAAAAGATACTACGAAATGTCCTCTTCAAAATTGTTAAGTACACCCGTGTCGTTTTTTTTTTTTTTCGAATTTAACAAACATTTAATTAATATTTTACTTCAAAATCACCCTCATTTTGCAGAAAGGGAATAAAAAGTTTGTCAGTAACGATGGACATTATATTGTTAGATTAAAACTGTATTAACTTTTAATAAAAAAAAAAATTTCGTACAGTATCAAAAAACGACTTGCGGGTGTACCTAATATTTATTCCCATTCCCTTAGTTGTAAATTGAGAATGTGAAACATTAACAAACTTTCTAAACTAGTGATAGATATGTATTCAATCGAAACACACCTGTTATTCTGCCAATACGTCCATCCAGGTAGGCACCAGCGAACCCAGCCACGTGTGAACCCAAGCTGTGACCGCTGATGTGAACGTCCTTGTACTCGAGATTCGACTCGCGATTCAGAAATTCCAGAAAGTCTCCGAGAAATTTGCCCACCTTCTTCGTGTTGTTCGCCGCTACTGGGTAAAGGTCAGCCGCCAAAACTCCCCATCCGACCACTATCACGTTCACATCTTCGTGAAGTAGATACGCTGCAATCATTCAATGGGTAATCGTGTGTGAATTCATTCGATTAGTCAATGATATATTAAAAATCGTTGGAAAAGAGAGTCACTGGACCGAGTTCGAAGCGAATTTAATGTCACAAGAAAAAGGATCTCAGACTTTGCGGATAAATAGCGTTCGCTGAGAGGTGTGAAATCTATCTCAAAAGGTCTTGAATCCTTTTTAAGCTCGCGAATGAAAGGATATTGGAGGAAGTATTTTCTTTATATCATTTTTTTTTTTTAATTAAACAAAAATTGCACGTGTGTATACGTAACTCGCACGATTGTTAAAGAGTCAAACAGCTAATTATTAAATATGTTTTTTATGCGATCCTTCTATTCCTTGGAGCGATTGCAAGATAATTTTATATGTATGTCGTGCAACCGATTCGCCGGAAGATAAAAACGTAGCGGCAGTGGCTGAAGTCTTGAGAAACATCTGAAATCGAAATTTCTCAAAATTACGTCAGGATCTTGGCGCGAGAGAGCAAAAACTTGTTAAGTGATCAATTAACTCGTTATCACGCTGACCCTTGAACCTGGCGTCGTCGATTCCGTGTTTACCGAAACGGGTTGACCCTGATTGTAATTAAATTTCACTGACTCGGCGCCATCGATATTTCTAGAAATTCTTTAGAAATCGTTTCTCCTCTCTTTCTCTCTCTCGTTCTCTTTTTCTCTATTTTTAATTTGCTTCGTTTCCCTTTAATCCCTTGCCTAACGATTTCCATAGCTGCTAGCTAAGCGAACGTCAGCAATTCACTGCTGCATCTAGTAATCTAGTAATCCAACATAGATGACGTAATGCTGAAGTACTATAAATAGACTGGAGCAACTTAAAATTTGTTACCATTAGAATTCTTTCTTTTTTTTTTTTTTTTTTTTAATTGCAAGGTAAGAGAAGAGATCAATTGTTGAGAAATGTTGTCGTTTACGTACCATCTATCAAGCCTCGTACCCAGACTTCGTTCCCAGTGTCACTAAATCCATGAACAATGAACTTGGTCGGACGACTTTCGTTGAAATGGGACGCGTAAAGGACCTCGGTGTTGTTCAGAAACAACTGCTCTTCCCCGAACGGATTTTCCCTTTGTAAATGAAACACACAGCGTTATATTTTAACATCGAATTGTATTTAAATTATATTAGGGGTTACAGACAAATTTCATCTCTATAAATAGAGAACGTTTCCAAAATCAAACGTTCGTCAATTCGAACGTTTCAAATAGTTTCCTGACATTCGTCCCAAGTCCACTAGTGTTACATGCTTTACTGGTGCCGATAATTCGAGTGATTTTCATGAAACGATCTCCAAGGATCGGAGCGACGAATCCTTGCGAGCGTGGCGGCTGAATTCTTTTCGAGGCCGATTTGAAAATCGAGCCGAGATTAAGTCGGCAGAAGCAACGCGAAAAAAGAATGAGAAAAGGAGGCGCGTCCGCGATATTCACGCGTCGATGATAGCCGAGCGTCAGCGCTGAGAATAGAATTTGCCAGCTTGCTGATTGTACGTATCGTTGAAAAAAATTGATGCATCGTTTACGAACCGGCGAACGATAAAACTTGCCTCTGGCACGGGCAAAAAATTCGCAACGCGAGCCGCGAGCGCGTTGCCAAGGAGAAACGCGAATTTTCTTCCCTCGTCTCCTTTCTTCTTCTTTTTTTCTTTTTTTTTTTTTTTGAAAATTTTTGAAACACGAATGGAAGTTGCGTCCTCGTAAAGAGACGCGACTGTTGAGCTATCAATATTTATTCGTAGCTTTAATAACGATATAAAATAAATTAGTAGGAATCTTTAATAGTGAATTATTATACAAGCAAGTTACTTACAATTAGCCGAACTCAAGTGCCATTCTGACTCAGTTAACCTTGTCTTACGTAAACCGAGTTACAATAATTACCCTTATTTTCTAGAGATTTATTTAATAGAAATATATATTTATTAATTTCATTAACATTTCATACGTATTGTCTCTCATTTTCCTTATCAAGTTCTGTCACTATCTCATACATACACAAATGACACGAAATTTACTATAGTTGGACTTCTATATATTTGGACCTATTAAGTATGCTTGGTCTTAATGTATAAATGCTATGATTTGTATTATTGAAGGCGAAGGAGAAATGAACGAAGAAGAACTGATCACATCTAATTTCAAAAGTGAAGTATTTAGTATTTGGTATTTGAAAATGTTTAAAAATAGAATAAACTTTTAGAGAATGTCTTACAAAGTTTCACTTTTTGTATAAATAATGTATATATAAATAATGTCGATCACAAACTGTCGCTGTGTGTTCTAGTACAAGACCCCGACTTCCCTAATATCAGTTGTAACTAAACAATCAAAATAAAACGCTGTATACAGTGTACAATACCTGGTGTACAAATTGAACGTGGCAGGTTCATGGATGATCCTGAGCACAAACTTGATCTTTTCCATGTCATTCAGCAATGTGTTTTGGGAATATGCGTACGCTAAAACCACAAGAAAACAGAATTCGTTACGAAATAAAAGGATCGTGTCTGAATTATTAAAATATATAATGTATCAGGTAAAATATAATATAGTAATTTAGTATATTTATCATAATATATCATATATTTATCTGCGCTGTATATTTATCATAATATAGTAAAATATAATCATAAATTAAAATATAATGCATTGGGAAATTAAAGATCGGTAACTAACTTGATATAAATGTTCATGTTTTTTAGTATTACACACATACATATATTATACATATGCTTTTGTGTAGTTTTCAGTCTTCGTGTTTAGTGTTTAGCTTTTAGTTTTTAGTTTTCGCCTTTTATTCAGGAAACCACCAAATATTACAAACGATTGACTTTTAGTAATTTCAACATTTGAAGATCGCGATATGAAAAAAACAGAGACGTGTATCTTCTCCATTATATTGACACAAATACGTGTAACATGCGTTGTTTCTGACGCTCATGAGAAATGTTACGTTAATCAAGTTGCAGATTTCGAGAGGATATAATATACTGTCGCTCAAAAGCCTTCGAATATTTTTGACTTTTAACAATCAATTAAAAATTTACTGCAAACTAAGTTGCATTGTATTTTATAATACAGTATTTCATTACACGCATCATACATTAGTCAATACATATAACACTTTGGATCGTTCAATGTTTCCAGTTTTGAAACGCCAACACTTTTGAGCGATGGTGTACGTTTAAACACGCGTGAACACGTGTAGCAGAAATGCATGGAAACAGTTTGTACGTCAAAAATTACACCGGAATTGAAGTCCAGATTCGTTTACCAGACGTGCACACGTGGAACATTGGGGCCTCTATCAGGGATCTTTTATCACAAGGCTCGTGAGGCTAGATTCGTAACAGATTTCAACGTATAATTCGATAAAAAGAAGATTCGATTTAATTTGGCAAGGTCGATGGAGGAACGTTAACGGAAAAGATTCACGCGACTTCCTTTACCTAACAGAACGACCGCCAAAAGGACGAGAGTTTTGACGGGTGGCATGTCTCTCCGCGCGATACCGCTCGCCGTTGCACTGGATTACAACTGTAGCCGGCTTAGCAGCGGGCTACCATTCATCCTACTCGCGATTTCTCGTCTTTGATGTTCGATAAGCCCGGCAGCCACGTTCATTTGTTTAATTAATACGACAGCTGCTCGAACGTGGATAGTTTCGAGAGTTGCCCTCCCCCCTTGTAAGTAGCCATCGCAGACTCTTCACAATTATTTCGCAATTCCTGCTCCGTCCGCTTCGACTTCGTCCTGTTTGTCGCTTTTTGCAATTCTTTTCTCAAAAAGAAAAAAAGAAAAAAGGAAAGAAAAGAAAAGAAACTGTACCGATTATTGTTTAGATATACATATGTAAGTATGTGTGTTGGTTGGATTATATAAATGTTGAAACGAGAGGAGAAGACCGAGAAAAAAAAACATTTATTTTTTGCTCCAGTTATGTACAGACTTAACATGATGAAATCCTATAATTATAATGCTTAACATGATGAAATTTTATAATTACACTGCATAATGACTTCGAGTCTTTCTATTTCTGAATTGTATTATATATAATGGCTACGACGGGTATCTTTATTTAGAAAAATGCTTCTAGATGATAAGAAATTTAATACACTTGGATTTAAATAATTAATACGTACGTGATACGATAAATAAAAATTGTTTAATTTTGTTCAATAAATGTACTATTTTATTAAAAGCATGGCTTCATTTAATTTCTTGTATTAGTATGGTGTTCGAAAGATATTATTGTATCAGTATGGATAATTAATGAGATTATAGTGATAATATATTAATTATTATAATTATTTGTTATACTCTCTTCGTAGTGTGGACGAACGTTTGTTAAAGAAATAAAGTCGAGCAATAATTGATTTAATATTTATATATTTTTATATTCAAGGTACATTATAAGTCACGATTATATACGTATTTTTTTTTTTTTTTTTTTAATGAAAGACACATAGAAAATCTAATGATATGTATTAGTAATAAATTGCGAATTACATCATTCTGTTGCAATAATCGAGCAACATAATCGCATTTGTCAATTGGTAAGTAATTATATTAATGACGTCAAGCATAAAGATCACCGCAAGTTATACGTTATTATAACTAGACTGCAGATGTTTAGGCTACATTGATGTATGTCTTTATAAAACTTAAATATACTAACGAGTATACATACACATAAACATATACATTTCTGTGTATTTCAATTTTTCGCAAATGCATCGGACCTAATCAGATTAATTGCAAACTTTCGTTAACGCTAGAATTACCGGAATATATAATTGGAAAGAACCATAACTCGTATAAATTGTTATAGAAATTTTCCAGACTTACAACGATGTTTGAATAATTTTTCATAAAACAAACTTTTCTAAATAAGATGCTTGTACCCTTTAGGGACATTATCCTATTCCTTGCACTTTGATTTTGACCCGACACAAGTCTTGCACATCAGTCGTCGATAATTCCGGCTGAATGAACAAATGTTTTGGTTTATTTGGCGCGATGTTTACTTTGTTCATTTCACACGGAGTATTTATTTCGTAACTTTGCTGTAATGTCGATGAAAAAAAATTTGATAATAGTTTTCGCAACCGGCGTCTTACGCCCTGGTGCTTAACGTTGGACGAGCACACTCATTTAAATGTACACGCTCGAGGAGAAACGTTTCATGAATGTCGATAAATTTAGAAAATTTAATCGGGAACTATGATAGCGCGAGTATCCCTGCTTCGTTATCGCAAACGTTTGTGTCGTTCCTTTCTTCGATGTAACAGTCGAACGATCTCGCATGACAGTTACTACATTTCTCCCCTATCGTTGTTTCCCTTTTTAGTCGCTTATTGTACCGCTTAATTAGCGAAAAAAAAAAAAAGAATTTGATTACAGTACAGAGCCAATGGCAGTGTCAATCATTTAATAATAAGTGTGTTATTTATAAATTTCATACTTTGAAATAGAACTTCAATATTTTCCACGGGAACATGAATCAAGGATGATAATATCTTTCATCCTCCTTTCTCTTTTTAATCCATTCTTCACGATTTTATATCGTAACTTTGTTCAAGTAGTTTTTTTAAAGCATTCTCTCTAGTAGATAAACATACTAGATATCCATCAATCGCATCGCAAAAAACATTAGATTTTTCGATTTTTAGGTTTTTTGCCTTGAATTTTTAGAACGTAAAAAGCAGCGAAATTTATTTTATTTGCTTGCAGTTATCTAATATAATTGATACAAATTCTTCTGTTTGAAGAAAAAAGAAAAAAACAGACTACGGAATATTTAAACTGCACTTATTCTAAATTGATCAAATAAATCTTGAATTTTAGCGCGATATGAAATTTCTTTTTACGCGCATATTATCTCTTTTTCCTCGTTTACCAATGTGCTGCCATCTACGAGAGAAAGTAAAGGATTTAATTAGAGAGAGGCAATCGCGAAAGTTCATAAATTAATCGCAACAATTAGTTTTTTTCGCAATTGAAAATTTAATCGATTTATAGACTTTGAAATACTAGCGCTGCATAGCGGTGAAACAGAGGAACTAAATGTTGTTGGTGTCTTTGTCGCACACTATCGCTCTCTTTGTCTTTCACAAGGCATATATCTGTCCTTGTCGCACATTATCGCTCTCCTTCTCTACGATGATCCCGCTATCTATTTAAATCTGTTCAAATTAAAATATGTGAAAAGTTCCGGTAGTGTGTAAAAAGTTCCAACAGATGGCAGCACGTAGCTTATTCTTGTAGCCACCTCTACTTCCAAGAATTTAGATCAACGACATCTATATTCCGTCGAGATGTGTATTTAATATAAACAATAGAATATTTAAAAATAGCTATTAATTTTATTATCACCATAGAAATGTTTANTTCGTCATTTAACTTCCATTATGTAATCTTCATTAAATTATTAGTAATTGTATATTTTGTGATATTGATAATATTTTTATATAAACAACTAAAATTAATTACGGAGTTATTATTTATTTATAGTATTGTGATTTAAATATAAATTATCATAATCACTATATTCTTGCCGCATTTTTAACCCCTACTTTACCAACACTTCTGTAGGTGTCACCACCATCGTAGACAAGAAGAGCAATACTGTGCGACAAGGATAGATATATGTCGTGTGAAACACAAGGAGAACAATAGTGTGCAACAAGAAGGACATTTAGTTCCATCGTTTTGCCACTATGCGGCGCTAGTATTTCAAAGTCTATAAATCGATTAAATTTTCAATTGCGAAAAAAATTAATTAAAGCAATTAATTTATGAACTTTCGCGATTGCCTCTTTCTAATTGAATCCTTTACTTTCTCTTATCGCATATTTCGCATCATTTACGTTTGGAAATACAGACATAAAAATACATTATATTTGTACTGTAACATTTTCTGCAGATGAGTTAATTGATTTGATATGTACGACTCGAATAAAAAATGATTGTTTTAAATTTTGAAAAAAGTTATACGTGACGTATAAATAAATATCAGAATATAATAAATCGTATCTCTAGATGTTACAAATGGAAATATTTTCGGATAGTAATAAGCCATGTACTATGAAACTAACTTTAGATAATAAACTACTTGCTTCTTAATAATAAGCTTCTTATAGAAAATTATTATTTAACAAATATAAAGAAGGGAAGAGGATTATATTTAATTCATAGTTTTAAAAATAAACGGTTGTTCACGACAGTTGTATCATTAATCATGTTGTATCAACGTAATTCCATCAGAATATAAATAAAGAAACTATAAATTGCTGTATAAAATTCTGAGCAACTTCATTTACGAGATTAAAAAATATCCTGTTTTATAAATTATCTTTAATTTCATGGAAAAATTTAATTTTTGTTCGACCTATCAGACTATGAATTTTATATTATAGACAGTTGGATTATTCTCTGTTTTGTCTATGTGTCGTTTACACTTCGTTTTGACGTTAAACGAAGTCTGCTCATGAATGATGAAAGATACTTTTATTGTTTAAAATATTTTTAAACGAATAATAGATTTTCAAAGGAATAAAAGTATTGTTACATCGAAAGAAACATGACGGAAAAATTGCGAAGATATGAGAAGATTGATTTCTTAGGAGAAGGACAGGTTAGTCATATGTTAAACTCCGTTTTTATACCATAAACATATTTGTGAATTTCAGTTCGCTACTGTCTACAAAGCCAAAGATATCGAAACATCTAAAATTGTTGCTGTGAAAAAGGTTCATTACTTAACGATGATTTTACAGGCTAATAAAGTATTGGCTTTTATTCGTGGTAATTTCATGGTCATTTATGATAATTTCAGATTAAAGTTGGAAGTCGTGCAGAAGCCAAGGATGGCATAAACAGAACTGCGTTACGAGAAATTAAATTATTGCAAGAATTAAGACACGATAATGTGATAGGTTTATTAGGTATTCTGCGTACATGTTATACAATGCTAATTAACTGACATTCATTTGTTGTGTCATTGATGTGTTGTTACAGATGTATTTGGTCACAAGTCAAATGTTTCTTTGGTGTTTGACTTTATGGACACAGATTTGGAGATAATAATAAAGGATAATAATATAGTGTTAACAGCTGCAAATATTAAAGCGTATATGATTCAAACTTTACAAGGATTAGACTATTTGCATTATAATTGGATACTTCACAGAGATTTGAAACCAAATAATTTGTTAGTTAACTCGGAAGGCGTTTTAAAAATTGGTGACTTTGGTCTGGCCAAGTTTTTCGGCTCGCCGAATCGGATAAATACTCATCAAGTGGTGACAAGATGGTATAGAGCACCAGAATTGTTATATGGTGCAAGATTGTACGGAACTGGAATTGACATGTGGGCAATTGGTTGTATATTAGCAGAATTGTTATTACGTGTACCATTTTTACCTGGGGAGTCTGATTTGGATCAACTTACTAGAATATTTCAGGTATTATGTTTATTGTAACTCAAGAAAAATTCTTATTCATAATATGTAATTTTTAGACATTAGGTACACCCACTGAAGAAACATGGCCTGGAATGAGCGAATTACCAGATTTCATTCAGTTCAAACCTTTCCCTGGCACGCCATTGAAACATATATTCACTGCTGCCAGTGATGATCTCCTAGATTTAATTGCTAGTCTGTTAAATGTGAATCCTTTGGAGAGATGTTCATGTGACCAAGCTCTTCAAATGCCATACTTTAGTAACAAGCCTGCACCAACTCCTGGTGCTAGATTACCTCTTCCTACATCTGTAAAACGCCAACCAGAGGAGAAGCCCAGTTTGAAGAGGAAACTATTGGAATCAATGGATGGTGCTTCCCTTGCAAAAAGATTACAATTTTAACTATAAACTGAACTAGAATTAATTATTACAAGGGACAATTCATTGTTATTGTTTTTTTTGCTCTTGATTTGCAATGAGTCACTAATGTAATATATAATTTAACGAAGCAAGGAGAAATAAATTCAAATCAGTATTAAACAACTACAATGAATTACTGCAGTGATGTATGATATGCAATCAATAATGTATTTTTGTTACAATTATTGTACAAATAATTAAAATCAAATAAACATTAATTTTATACATTATGAATATTGTATGTCCTTAAATATATTGTTTATATTTGTACAAAATTAATATAGGATGGGAATGTTATAGGCTAAAATAACAATAATACATACTTGAAAAATACAACATTATGCTGCATTACTTTTATTAACTTAAAAACTAGTAAGAAATGTTTGATACGTGAACAATTTTGTAATTTGTGAAATATTAAATTTCAATAGCATAAAGAGGTGACTCGTTGATAAATTATTAGAATTGTAATCGCATTCTGCAGCGTTTTCTGTAGCAAGATTAATTATTATTCGTCTTTCATAATAAGTACAAACATTACCAGATTTACTTGCTCTTGTTTCTCTTTGATGATGTTCCACCATTTTCCTTCTCGAAAAAAGTATAAAGTATAAATAATGTTCCTTCAATATATCCGCTTTATGGATTAAAAAGGGACATATTTATCATTTTTTTCTAAATTAATGATTTCGCATTGCCCATCTGTGATGAGCTTGCAAATAGTTTTTTACGAGTACTGCTCACGATTGATTGCATCCTTTCAATCAGCTTTTAAAATTCGTGCATGATTTCATATACATGTATCTATTACACACATACATAAATCTATTCAATACTGATGGGTAACAAAAACATAATACAATTTTGTAAAGATACAAATTGTACATATCTTATATTAATGCACATATTAACATGAGTTGGCTACCTCTGAAATTGATGAAAAAGTGTTTCACATTAAAATCATGATATAAGAATAAAATTAATTTCATATTTTAATATATTACATAAAGCTATAACAAAATTTGTTGTGTTGTACATTTAGTTACATTAAAAGCATAAATTAAGACGACGTGTGCATTTAAATACTGAAGCAACATTTAATATTTTTTTTACATATTTTGTTAGATCCTGATATAGAAGTGAAAAGCTGGGAGTTCTACAGAAATAAAATATGATTGTTTTAAGGTGTGTTAGAAGATTACTACGTTTGCTATACGATACATTTGAGGTATATATGTAAAAAATAAATATATATGTAAGTAATAAAATTAAATTTTAATTTTACAATAAAGTTAGAATTTATCAGATATCCGATTTGGTTGGAGAGAAAATTATAAATGTTTAAAATCAAAATAATAAGCTTTCAAATGTATCTAATCTTCTAAAACACCTTAAAACATATAAATTATAAATCCATTCTAACATATGGTACTGTGGTCCCTCTTATTCAGACTGAACTATAAGTAATAACTATGTAACACTTTTTTTTAATGCATAACAAACTTAATTGTTTCTAGAAGTATATGTCAATATTCACCAGGTTCAAAGTAGTGAGAAAGGATGAAAATTACTATTACTATTATTTTCAGTTTAGCTCATAACATAAAAACGTAAGGATAATCTTAGGAGAATAGATGAAATGAAAGAAGAAATAGTATTAATATAGTTCCATGAAAAAGAAAACAGGACTTCTACAAAGATAGTTTTTAGATCATTTTAGACATTATTCGCTTTTTACAACACAAATCTCTCCTTTCATGCGAGTTATTTACACATAAAAAAATAATACACTTAACAGGTAGATTTTACTGTACACGATATACTTAAAGCAATATTTAAATTTACAAAATTGATATTACACAGAGTGTAGTATTAAAAAAAAAAGAAAAAAAAAAATCCAACACGATTTACAAAAAAGTAAATCGTCTTTGTATCAATACATTCATCGAAAATACAAATTAAAACTTTTCCTTATTATTTGTGATGAAGCGTTAACATATAACTGAATGTATATTTGAGCGCAACAACTCTAGAAATTGCAGAAAAATTAATTTCAATTGATTGATCAATATTTTGTTCGATAAGTTAATTCATTTAAAGTCTCCACCGCGTTCAATGTCATATAATAATGCAATAGACACATACATACTAATTTTCTATCCTGCGTGCATTTTGTAAGGAACATTGTATTCGATAACGTTAGTTTCTTTTTATATGCCCTTCTGCATGGCCCTACACATACAAAACGTGTTTGTATAATGTTCTTCGTTTTAGTAGGGCTTAAATTTTATATAGGATGCATTGTTTAATACGTAAAAGTAGAATATATCAGAAATAGTACATAGGACATAGTATCAAAACATTGAAAATGAAATAATAAAATTTTTTTGAACAATAAACGAATAATAACATGATTGAAATAACTAATTTTAACTATTCAAAGACATAACATAGTTGATATAAATAATTTCAAATACATTATTAATTATATGTAATATTTTTATATTTTTTAATTATTGTTGTTGTTAAATATATTATTGTCTTACGTTAGCATCCCACGAAGAACACGTACTTGAAAAATTGTAGTAAAAGATTATTTACTGGACATGAAATGTAATGAAGATTTAACAATTGTACATGGCTATAAGTACAATCGTTTTCTTCTTTAAATTATACTATGTCCTAAGCAAATAGTTTTAAGCAATAATCGATGCGCTGTCTATAGAGCACATGCAGCAGACAATTTGCTCTTGCATTTTGTTTCTAAACATTTGATTCAGTATTTAAAGTAACATATATAACAACTTATGCAATCAACAATATGTTATGACTATTTTATAATGCTTATTTTCCTTAATTTCTTACTTTTATTTTATACATTAAGTCAATGTATACCAGGATTTTTAAATAATATTACTATGTATATTTTTAAGTTTAATAAATTTTCCAATGCGTTAAATTAAAAGTAAACGATATACATTTTATAGAAGCTGCATTTAAATGTATGTACAATGTAGTACATAAAGATTCTTTAATATAAAAATAACATCTTAATCACAATGTTATTTCATATTATTTAAAAATCACGATATTCACAGATTTTAGGACAAGGGTATTATCTGCAAATGAAAATGAAATTATACCCGTTTTGGGATTTGAAATAAGTAATACATACATTACAATATAATTGTCCATAATAATAATATCACATCTCCAAATACTACTTAGCACGAAGTGTTACAAAATAAATGTACATATAAACGAGTTTAGACAAAAAATATAGGCGGTGCATTTTCTAGGTAACTATGACGTTTCCTTGGGTATAAAGAAGAATATATTCATAATTTTCCTGACACAAATAGTTTAGCATGATACATCTTGTTTTCAATGTTAGAGATGATTTCACAATTTTGTTTTATAAATACTTGTAGAATTACTTTTCAGTCCATTCGTATTATTGAAAATTCAACATGTATTATAAAAAAAAAGTACCTCAATTCTTGATTGATACTTGGTGCTTTAAAAACACATAACTTTCAATTTCAAAGTAAACCGAAATATATCATTATAGTGAAGGTATACTTGTCACATTTAAAATTACGTATTGAGTTTGAAACTTCTTACTTTCCCATTTTATGACATTCCTGCGTTACATATATATTATATTTACTTCTAAAAGTAGAATATACAAACGCAGCAGTCTCGTTAATTAAACCTTTTCTCTCAATTAATAACTTTGGATCGGTACATATAATATAAATGAAATTTATATATAAATATTTCTATTTACGAGAAATAAATAAAAACATTTATACAAAGACAATAATTAAATAATTTGATACTATTAACATATAATTCATAAAAAGAAGAATCTAATTACATACATATCATACGCCGTCTTATATAAACGTAAATGAACAAAATACCATTGCAATGTGAAACACTCTGTGTAGCTTCTCGATTAGGCACAATGTTCGAAAGCAATAAATTCCTATTTTTCTGTTTAAATAAAAAAATTCTTTGTGGAACACACTTTCCCAATACAGACTATATCTCCCTAGAATTTACATTAATATTAAAAGTAGAAATACATATTTCATTGCTACTACTGTTTTTTATTTTATCATATCATATATATTCAGTAGTCAGTCCAAGGCAAACATTATCCGCAATAGTATAATATAATATAGCTACTATTTTCATATCATTTTTTTTTTAAATTGATCTACCTATATATTACTTTCTTTTAAAAAATGTATACTTAACATTTAATATATATATCTCTTTTTAAAATATTTACAGTCAATGTTATGATATAGTAATTTTAATTGTTTCTTGTATTCATGTTTTATAAAGGCAATTATTATCATAACTATAATCCTTATCATAATACATGTATTGTGTAAACATATTTTATATTCGTACTAGGACAGTATATAATACAAGTAAGGATATTATATGATTTTTGACACCTTTACACGTATGTACACAGGGAGTGTCATGATCACACAAATCATAATTTACCTCATTATTGCGTTGTATTTTGATGTCAATTTTTAAACAAAAGATATTTTTGTCTTTGTTTTGTTATATTTAGAAGAACAGCTTAATTCTTTATAAGAATTCTTATACAAGAATTCTATATTCTTTAGTGACCACGTTAAATTTGGAAGCATATCTTCAAAAATATTCCAAATATAACGTGTAAAACATCGATTTATCGTTATCATAGAGCTCGTTAAATTAATATCTATATTCACAGTAACAAATTAGCAACAATAAACTAATTAATTTCAATTAATGGCCGAACAATAGCAAACAGATAATAGCAATTCTTATAATACAATTTCAAGATTTTCAATCTTTTTTTCACATAAAAAGCAAAAAATGTATAATCATAAATCAACCTGTGCATTTTTCTTAATGTGTACTGTTTGAGAATTTTTCAGAGGTCATTATTAATGATAATGACTCAATAAGTTCTTTGATTCTGAGATCTTTTTTATTCTAGACTCTTTGTAACATAATCTTTACATAACATAAACTTTATCTCTAATTAGAGTGACTACAAAAATGAGCAAATTTATGAAATACTTGCTACTATTTTATCTTATTTTAATTTTAAAAAATTAAGAAATTATATTCTAAAATGAACAAATATATATTAAAAAAATATAAATATGTTATACATAGCATAAAAATTTTCAAGAGTCTAGAACAATGATTGATCATATAAAAAATGCATCGTATTAAAATGATCTTTAACTAACAATAATTTTTAGTGAAAAAAGAAATAGTATTCTTTAGTAGACATTAGTATGTATGTAAACTTCCTTATGCAAACAATTAATACATTATTGTCATATGAAATTCGATTACTTAAATTTTTTAAGCATTGATACAAAAATTTGAATCTATTAAGCTAGCAGATATTTTTTAGCTATTGCAATGCACATAATTTTGGTGTATTACATATAACAAGAATAGATTGCAAATGATAATGAAGCTTCATGGTCTAGTATTAGAAAATTCGATTGGTGTTGAAATGAAAAATTAATTTGCAAAAGAATGTTAATTCATTGCATCGCAAATCAATCATCAATTGAATAGATGGTGGAAAGACTTACAAATTACAGATTAATAGTATCCAATGTGTGCGAATTTTTGGATGAATTGTCCTTTGGTGACGTGGTGGCAACACTAACTTGTTTGCTGGTATTGTTCGTAAATGGCATGGCAAACTTAAAATCTGCACCATTCGGCAATTTTCGCATAATTTTTCCAGATGTAATGAGTTTGCCAAAACCTTCTTGATGCGCAAAAGCATATCCAGAACGAAGAGATCGTCGTGTTCGTCTTGTAGATGGTGTACGAAGTATGTCTTGACTTTGGCGAGAGCGAAGTTGTGCCAATCTCTGTTTAAGTCTAACTCTGTCAGATAGTGTTGGTCTTACATCTATGAAGAAGAATCTCCACGATAGTACAGGTATTACTAATATGATACACGAAATGACCGCCGTGAACCAAAACGTTGCTTCAGACATTGCCTGAAAATCGTGTGTCCATGTATTAATATACTATGTTTAATTTTTGTAATTAGTTTTATTATTAAAATATTGATCATAACAAAATAACATACCATTGTAAGACTGCCAACATAACTACCACCTATGACAAAGTTATAGAAATAATCTAAAATAAAATACCAAATGAGCGAGCCCCAAACCATAATGTGATTAACAATTGTCCAATATGATGTATCAAGGGCTATTTGAACAGTCACAACTATGACTAATATAGTAGCTACAACACTTCCCAGTAACATATGATCAGAAAGTACATAGCCCTTTGGTGATACTCCATCCTTATATGTTCCTGAAAATATATTCAATTATAATTTTAACTAAAATGCAATAAAATAGTGCATAGATTACTTTGAACTTACCATACGGAACTAAAAATAATACACAGCTAGCAAAAAACCCATGTATGGCACTCCAACAAAATTCCTTTTTATTAAAAAGTAAATTTTGTAATCCAGGTGCATATAGTTTCGGATACATTAAACTATTTTTATCATTAACATCTTGATCAAATATGCCAACTGCCATTACAGGTAATGATGTATAAAAGAGATTGTAGACAGAAATATACATAGGATCAAATACAGTCTGTAAAGAAATATAAACATTTATAAGAGTACATAGAAATTTATCTTCAAACTAAATTTTCATTATAAATGTTTGAAAGTCAGAATCAATTAAAAATTAGTTCATTTCCCCAATACTCAACTTTGGAACTAAAACTGCTCAACAAAGGAATTTTGCGAATCACATTCGCCTTAGTCTCATCACTTTATAAGTAGAGAATAATACATGAAGAAATAAGAACATTAATGATATAGATTTATACCTGTGCGCTAAATCCACAGAAAAAGGCAAACCAGATGTGACATAATGTAAACGCAAAGTTCTTATAAAAAAAATATCTAAGAAATTTGCTCATTCTGTAATATGACCATCTGCCATGAACAAGGAGTAATCTTTCTAAAAATCTGAACTGTCCTATCGAATAATCGGATGCTAATACAGCTTGTAACCCTTCTTGTCCACTGATGCCAACACCTATATGAGCTGTTTTTATCATCGAGACATCATTAGCTCCATCACCAATTGCCAGAGTCACAGCATTTTTATTTTTCTTGATTAATTCGACTACCATTGCTTTTTGTAAAGGAGTCACACGACAGCATATCACAGCTTTACCTAAAAATTTCAAATATACAATGTTAAAATAGTTATTCGCATAGACATAGAATTTTTTTAAATAAGTAACTTACATTGGCTTGATACCTCAAGAAAAAGTTGCTCAAGTTGCGGATGTAATGCATGAACTAAGGAATGCCCATTAATAACCACCGCGAATCCTGTTGCTTGTTCCATCTCATGCTCGTCCTGTTCATCCCTGCTAGGATTGTACTCAGTATCGCTGCTATATATGAAAAATATAAAGTTTAAACAAAACAAGATCATATTTAGAATAAAATATGATTTACAATAAAAACTCTGTCTTAGAATCAAAAGTTTGATCTTTTTTTTAGATTTGATTTTTATCAGATATTTCATTGAATTCAATCAATAGTAAAATGTAATATTTAATTATTTGCTGAGAAAAAAAGAAAAAAAAAGGAGAAATTTGATTTGTTCCATTGAACATAAAAATGATGCATATTAATTATAAACAATATACACAGTGCACTGTATCATGGACTACTGATATAATAACGTGACATAAGCAACATACTTATTGTGTTGTTGTTATTTTTATTATTATTATTACTAAGATTAATTTTAAGCATACAGAAAGAGAAGGAGTGAGTTTCAAGCACATGATAATTATCATTATTCGTTTCGACTAATTAATGTTAATACATAATCATAGGATATTGGAAAAGCAAAAATTATTAATATTTGAATAAAAAAAAAAAAGAAAAAAAATAACTAATACCTAAATCTACTATATACTCAAATATCTACGTTATAATCGACAAGCACGAGAATTAATGGTTTCAATACTTTTCATATAATAAAAGAAAACTTGAGAAAAAAACAATTATATGGAATATGAATTTGTATGTAACATATGTATAAATATTTTAAATATGCATGCAAACATATATTTAACTGTATAGTCGAGAAAACTTAAGTTTTAAATTTAAATGTGATAAAATTTATATTCTTGCATGTATTGAATTGAAATAATGTATTGGTGCAATTTAATTTATCAATACTTTTGTAATGCCATAATTTTTGCATGCTAAAGTATGTTTAAATTAATTGGTATTTAATAGGAATATTATTAAGAAGATATAATTCTGATCATTGGTTTTTTTATATTGAACTTTGAATCTCATTATCTTAACTTAATGTCAAAGGAAGAAAATCTAGGTCTGAAATATTTATAAATTCTTAGGCATAACCAGACGAAAAAAGCATTACACAGAACATGATGCTACATTCAATATGAAAAAGAAACTTTTAAAATAAATGCGTTAATTAGTCAGATTGAAATATGGAAAAGGTTAATGATTGGTACTCCGTCTCTTTCATGTGCCTGACCTTTCTTTGTCCCACCTGAATGTGACAACGGAGAGAGTTGGCCGATTTTGATGACCGGAAGTTGTTTTAATAGTTTCCAAGTATCGCGATAACTGATTCTCGACACCATCATAGGTAGTGGAATCTACTATAAAAACATCTGTAAGGTCGTCTGTCAGCAGTTGGCAGGAATAACCAATATTGATAGCTGTTTCTGTATAAAAATATAAAACAACATAAATATTCATGTACGTTATAATATTATTAATATACGTATGGCTTATGTATATATATTGCGTATGACTTTGCATTATCATATAATTTATTACCTTGTTTGTCACCAGTTAATACCCAGATCTTTATGCCAGCCAGAGCTAAATTAGCAATAGTTTGAGGTACACCATCTTGTAACTTATCTTCAATGGCAGTAGCACCTAATAATGTCATATCCTTTTCTATTTCTTCATATATTGCATCCAATTTATCATCCCTGTTTTCCTGACTCATGGCAGCTTCTTGATGACGTTGCTTCCAATCATTGAAAAATTGTTCATCTAGATCTCTGACCGAAAGGCACAATGTTCTTAAGCCCTCACCCGCAAATTTGTTAAGATGATCCAATGTTTTTGCCATCATATCCTCACTGCCTTTTTTCAATCGCTCGTAAATAACATTGTCCGCTCCTTTGCAGTATAGCCTAAGATGCCCGTCTTTCCTCAAAATTACAGACATTCTTTTCCTAACATTATTAAAGTCCAAAATGCAAAGCAGCTCGTATATTTCACGCTTCCCCATAACTTCAATTGTAATACTATTTGGAGATCTTTCTTTGAATACAAAACCAAAGTTTCTAGCGGCAGATACAAGGGCAGCCTCATCCGGCGACTGTGCCTGATACTCCAGCTTGCCATTTTTTTCTTCCGGCATAACAGTATGACAAAGTGCCAGCAATCGAAAGAAGCTATGAACGTCTTCGTTATTTTTTTTTACAGCTTCGAGTAATGCAGAATCGTAGAATTTGAATTCTGGTTCGTAATCCTTGTTGAACGAGAAATCCAATGCTGGCGTTGTCTGTAAACGTACATTAAATTACATTTAAAACTGATTTATTATACTCCATTATGTGTTAGTATGATACACAAAAGATAGTAAACATATGGAAACGGAAGTACTAGAAATTAAAATAAATACCTTGCCTCCATATAAATAGATTTGTTGCAAGTCAGCAGGCACATATGAGATGTTATAATTTTATAATTCCTTTAAAGCATTGTGAAAATTAGTGTTCAAGATTTAAGCACTTTAGGAATACATGAATCTAATTATAAACAAAAGTGGGACATCATGCAATATACAATCTAACGCATGTATAGAAAAATAGAGAAAACGATTAGAAAGCAACAATTAGTAATTGTTTGCTACTTATAAAAACCAAAACGCCACGTTATTGTACGTATAATCCCTTTACGACATACCTAAATAAGCATAGCATGCAAACAGGACAGCAGAAGAAAGTAAGCTGAATAGTGCATTAAATTTTTTTTTGTTTATAAGATGTGTTAATTATTAACATGCGTACAGAAAGTTTATGTGGAACCATCGGACTGCCAATGGGGCCTGGCTCTCCAATTATATTGGATATCCTGTCAACTTGTTCCAGTAGACGTACGTTTGGACCAGTTTTAGGTGTATATACTTGAACAAACTCTTGTCCATTTTTCCATCGCATCGTAGGTGTTTCGGCAGCTTTGTTCGTCTACATGCAGCACACACATGCTAAGTGATGTACATGAAATCTTATGCAAAATATGGCCAAACTGTGAAATGAATTGTCTGCTTTTTGTTACCAAGAAGAAATGATCGAATTAAGAAATCTTTATTCTTCTTATTAAATCGCTAACATTTATATATATATATATATATAAAATGCAACAAATAGCAAATTTTACTGAAACTTTTGACGTGACATTGGTACATTGTATCTTCACTTGATAATGTAAAAATTTTCAAATAATCATATTCTTCTTTGATAACAAGTATGAAACGAACGAAACTGATGTGTGGATATTTCAAATGCTAGACGATTATAAATTTATTGAATGTAATAATTCGTGATTTAAAAGTACAACAAAAAATTTATATCCGAGCAAAACTGTTTTCAAGAAACAAACTTGTCGTTCCAAATCAATAAATTATCTATATTTCTTGATATAAAACATGTACATGATGAAGGAACTCAAACAATAATTGATGTAATGAAAATTATAAATCACAGTAAAGTCTCGTTGCAACGATAACAAAAATGTGTAACTTAAAAATAACATGTCACATTTACAAAACATTAAAGCTAGTAAAAAAGACGACCGACTTCTTTGTTTAACAAACTGGTAATGACGTACCCCATCATCCGCATCGAGTCTGATTATGGATAAAGAGATAAACAGACTCACCTCACTTAAATCGACGACTTCCCCGGTAACTTCGTCGATAACGTCCCCATAACATTTTCCTGCCACAGAACACTTGTTAAAAGTCATGATGTTTTGCGTTAATGTTCCGGTTTTATCGGAAAATATATATTCTATTTGTCCCAACTCTTCGTTTAATGTAGTAGTCCTTGCTTTAGCGTGTGTGTTCGTAGGTGCATGGTACATCTCTTCATCCCAATTGATCAAAAACGATTGAACGAATCTGATAACTTCGACACTCACGTATAAACTGATTGGCACCACTGTGTTCAATACGATAGCATAAGAAAAGAACACAAGCAGAGCGATCACTGTTGCACCTCCCATAGGCTCGCTAGGCACCAACGAGTCCCAGGGTAGATACACTTGAAAATAACGGCCCACAAGACTTTCCCAAATACCACAGCCGATCATACAGAACAAACACATAGAAAGTAAAAAGAACACTATCCCGATGATGAGAAGATTCAGCAGCCTATCTATAGAAGTCCTCTTAAATTTGGTCTTCCCTGAGTTTTGCATTAATTTGGTATCCTTGCCTGCAAAGATGACCACACCATAGCACCATTGCGTATTTCGGAGCACGCAACCTCGTAATATAATTTTGTCGTTGTCCAATGGGTATCTGTAATATAGCGTACATAAAGCAGTTTTAACGTGTGTCTTTATATTATATCATGCGAGACAAATTAAAAAACGACCACTTACTTCTGTCCTTTCCACGTAAGAGTACCATCAAATTTATTTAACAAATTATTAGGAGTTTCGCAAACTATTTCTCCGTCGAATTGACCAATCAATTCGTGATTATCCATCATTTCGGCAGTTTCGGTTAAACACTGCCGACACTTCAAATTCGTTTCCCTGAAACAATCAAACGTGTCATCATTTCTTTTTTTTCTCGCTCTTTCTCGCTCGCAAGCAAAGACCTTAAAATCTTCCAACAAAATTATCTTAATTGGTAAATGATGCATTTAAAAAAAATACCAACCCATCTAATTCCGCAGTTTCGATATAACAAAGACCATTTGGCTCACTAGTAGATAAAAGAAGCACGTCGGCTGCAACGAACTGATCGTTTTCCATTCTAATTACATCGCCCACTTGAACTTGCGACCATTTCTCTTCACGAAGGCTGGTACCGCGCAGCGTTTGTGATTTTCGATTGTTCACTTGCGAATCGCTGTTGTGCCGTTGCTGAAGAAAAGGAATCGAATATGTGCTCAGTACATTTACTTGCAAAACACGTGAACAAAAGAAGACGACGTTTAGAGTAAAAGTGAACTAAAGACGCGTTTTCTCTACAGGTACGAAGATTATAGTTTCTATTATTCGTTACTTAAGAAGATAATCTCTTTTAGTTTTGGTGAACTTACAAAATCGTCGTAGGCATCTTTGACGGCAGTGAGCATGAGCACCCCTATAAGGGGTATGGCTGTAGTGATGGGGGTCAAGGAGGAGATAGCGGGGATCATCTGAAGCACCAGCAGGCATAGGAAGTAAAAGTTAGCGAGCCGCTGAAATTGCTCGAACAAATTTAACGGTAGGAACGTCAGAACCGTATACTTGGACGTCTTGATGTAGTTGTTCTATAAGGGGAAATGCGTCTCGTCATTATCAGCACCGCGAGCTTCAATTATCGTGTGTAAAGACAAAAAAAAAAAAAAAAAAAAAAACAAGAGGAATTATAGAACCGTATCTCGATCTTACCGCATAATTAAACTGTGAGTTGAACTCGCGATTATTGGCGCGAATTCTCCTCTCCGTTTCTGAAAAAGAAAGAAAACGATACGACATTGAATTGCAATTGAGTTACAACATCATCAAATTATACACGGCTGTTTGCGCGAGGAAACTCAATGATTCTCATTAAACGGTATTTCACCACTGCCAATAGCTTGCTCTTCGTATTACGACGAATGATTAATCTTCTTTTTATATATATATATATATATATATATTTAAATATTTCAGTAATGCAATAACGAGAATGAAAGACTCAAATAACAATCGTAGAAATCGGATTCAACGTTTTCGCCTTCGTTGCGCATCCATGGTTTACACACATTTTGAGAAAGCAAATGTTTAGCAGAATAGGAACTGGATGCGCATCCGGAATTAAAATTAAATAAACTGACCGTTGAATCGAAACCGTTAAAGCGAACTCATTTTCTCGTGTATACCCATACCGCGGGAGGTGGTGGATTGCATTTTGCATACAAAATGGATTACACGATTACGTAGGAACAACCAAGTTGAGTAATGTGCAACAGTTTTTCTCTGACATTTGTATATAATTGTAACAGTTTCATCCAAGTGTACGCCGAAAAATGTACAAATGTTGTTCTATTATGTTTTTTTCTTTTCTTTTTTTTTTTTTTTTTTGAACCCACATAGTCTAATTATAACTTTATTAGCCGGAAATGTTAAACGCAAAGGCATTATATTATTTTTTAATCAAATATTGATCTTTCTTTCTTGGATGTTACGAATGCTATTCTACAACTTTACAGATTGTAAACAAAGGTAAAATTAATTGTCATTCCTAGAAAATAGTATCGTTATCAAATTGTATCAGAAGGAAGCATACCAATACCCGCTTGTATGTAATCTAGATCACTGTATTTATCGCTACATCGATATTTAGACAGAGTGTAGGTATATTCTGTTCTACTTTTATTTTATCAAAGTTGAAATAACTTTAATCTAACGATAAAGTAATAAGTATTTAACAGTACTTACTGTTGGCACGTTTAAATTTGTACAATTCAGATTTTCACTGATACGTTGATAATTTTTAATTGCTCTGCAGCAACTTAATCACAACGTTGGCAAAAATAATGAAAAGCGAGTGTAATAATTCGTAAGTTGTACATTTACAATTTAATTTAACATTCGTCTATTAACTGTGAGAGTGAGATATTTTCCGAATGTATTTATTATTTTATTCGACGTTTCGCTGCAGTCACGATAACGATTTTCTTCGACCAATTATGGGAACGCAGGCATTTCACTGGCTAGAAAAAAAGAAATCTTTTGGATTCTTCGCTACCTACATTTTGAATATTTCTGACGCGAGCTGAAATTGAAACTACGAAATTCAACGCAAAAATTTGAAGTGAAAATGTGGAATTCATAGAGCCACGTACACGCGTTGAAAATTTATTGGATATCTTTGTGAAAAACGTGATACATAGAACGATAACTATGCCGACAGAGGAAAAGAGTTATTTTCAATAGTTTTTATGTTAATAAAAAAAAAAAGAAAAAAAGAAGGAAGAGCAGTTTTGTTTTATCGTTCACTCTTATTATTGTTTAATATTGTAAACACGGACAGCAACATAAGTAGTGCAGAGCGATGTCCATTAGACCGAAGCATCGGTGAGGTCACGCTTAAGTGCACGCGTACTTGAATGAATCTTCAATATCGATTTACTCGAAAACGGTATATAAGAGAACGTTCTACATTTCATATCTATTTTTTTTTCCAAATTCGTATCGTTGAATTCGATAATAGGTACTACTCGGTGTAAAGTGTAAGGCAATGAACATTAAGAAAATGATAAAAAAGGCAGAATTTAATATGGAAGAGGCTATTATATCGTCGCGTCAGGGCGATAAAAGCTCTTTTGCAAATACTTAAGAAGTGTAAAGATACGAAAAGGGACTTTTACGTCTTGGAAGTCTTTTCCTGACTGAGGTAGTAATTTTTATTGCTCTCAATCTTCGAAACTATTTATCAAAGAGGCAATAACGGAGTCCAAACTCCAAAAAAAA